TAGTCATGCGTTTTGGTTGCCCAGACGAAATTCTGACAGATCGTGGTGCAAACTTTATGTCACATATTTTGAGCTTTTACATTAAGAAAATTAAGCTCCATCATAAATTAACCTCAGCATTTCACCCACGTACTAATGGAAAATGTGAAAGGTTAAATGGTGTTCTTAAACAGATGTTACGTAAATATGTACATGGTGCCATTCACTGGTGGGACGAATATCTGGAAACAGCACTTTGGGCTTGCCGAATCAGAAAGCATCATACAACTGGGTTCAGTCCATTTTTCTTGACTTATGGCCACGAACCTCGTATTCCTGGCAATCCCCTACGTCCATTTATGGATACATCTATCCCTGACGACCCGACCCTCGTATCCGATGGTGCTATCCCTTTTCTTCGTAATCTCCAACAGGCTCGCAAAAATGCTGATGCTCGAGTAACCGCCAACAGCCAACAAGACAAGGAACGATGGGATTCGATCATGAAACCTCATCAGTTCGCAATCGGTGAACATTTGTTGTTGCGGCATGAAAACAAATTTGGACTAGAATATAACTGGATGGGCCCATATATTGTAGTAGATAAAAATTTCGATAAGAATATATACAAGCTCACAACAATGGAAGGTGTCCCTTATACTTCTTGGGTTCATGCTGACCGTCTCAAAATAGCCAAATCCGACGATTTTGACCGCACCTGGTATCACCCGACCGCTGCTCGTAACAATATGCGACGTGATCTGGCCATAGATTCCTCTTCCACCTTGCCGTTCTCGATGATAGAGTCTACCAGAGTTGACCGAGGACGATCAACAGTTTCGAGAGGGGGTGATGTCGGACATTATTTTGATGAATCCGAGAAATCGGGATAATTGACCGCAGCAGTTCTGTATGTCAAAGATACCTCATAGATAACGAACTGCAGTAATGTCTTGTAAAGATTAACCACAGTAACATCTTCTGAGCATCAACCGCAGTAAAAGGACTTCTCTTGTAATTAAATAGAGTATAATAGTTTACTGCGGATAATGCGCAGTATTAGTTTAGAAAACTATATAAGACAATTCAATTCCTATCAATAAAAGGCATCTTTGATCCTCTCTTTGATTTTACGTATACTCCTTGATCCCCAGTGGGTTTGACCTTTTCTTTGTTATAGTAAAAGGAAGACCAACCCAGATCGGGAACGACACTATCTTCAGATTTTATGGATTCATCAAAATAATGCCCGACACACAACACAGTGAAGAACAACCCAAAATAGAATATTCCAAGTGAGGGGTTTGAACCCTCGCCCTCTTACGAGGATCTGATCTTAAGTCAGACTCCTTAGACCACTCGGACAACTTGGATAAGCTATTTGTGTCGCGTTTAGTATGTTGTTATGTGTAAAAAATATACAAGAAAAGATAATTGTATATAAGAAGAGGAATTGAAAAGAGGAATTGAGGGTTTGGGTTTGATATCAGATAAATTGAGGTGATAAAATAGTTTCTTTGTTACCAAATAGACCAGCTAAAGAAATAAAAAGTGAAACTAACATTAAGGTAAGAGTGTAAATAATTTGAATGATTAGGAAAATAGTTAAACTAAAAGAAGTGAAGTAATTAATACTAATTATAAAGAGTTAATTGTAAGAAAGAAATGTTTAATAGAGTAAAGAATTTAGCTAAAAAGAAATTTACTATGGTAAATTTACTAAGGAGTTATCACAGAGTTTTTAATGAGGTTACAGACTCAGATGATGAGCCAACCAGTGACTTGTTTAAAATAAAAAATCATTAGAATATCGAATTTTATAGGTAATTTTCACCAAAAAAATATGCTGCTCATTACAAAAAAATGATCAAAACAAAATATTTCTTTACATACAAGAGATTCTTTTAAATTCTTATAAATATATATATATATGAACGTGAGTAGAAGCTTTAAAAGTATCTATATTTCTCTTATATTTATCAAAAAGCTGATATTGAATTGAATAAAGTATTATTCTTTAAGTATATGTTTAATTACATATAGCTGTTTGATCTAATAAAGTAGAATATAGCAAGGATGGTACCAGAAAATAATGGGAAGCTATTAAATTACTTAATAGCAACATTAACTGAATATCATAAAAAGAAACAAGATATATTTTTTTTTATTTTTACAATCATTGAAAAATTTGGCTTGAATTTTTAGACAAAAAGTCCAGAGTTCTTTGTCTTCTTCTTCGGTTTTCTTCTGTAAGTTCGACTACTGTTTCTTCACTTACAGAATTGTCAACCATATATTCCTTAATACAATCGACAATTCTTTTACGTCTATTGAAGAACTGTTGATCATTGTTTCTCCAAGCAACACCGTATCTTGTCTCCATCTTGTATACAGAGACATAGCCAGAGAGTCCCACATGCCATTCTCTCCACAAGTCAGGCACCATCTGCACACCTCTGCTCATTCTATACCAAACAGGTATGTCTGGCAGCTGGGAAATTGGTTCAGAGTTGTTGGCCGGGACTGGAAATTCTTGGACCTCTGTTGATCTAGCTCCACCTCTTTCCCCTCCATCTTCTTGAAGGGACCAAAGAGGGATTCTCCCAGATATCAAGTCGTCAATCTTCTGGTGAAGAACACCAAACTCCCGCAGAACTTCTCTGCGAAACTCACTGTCCGCATTCTGCATGTCAGCCAACTTTCTGGCCATCAGAGGAAGTGCTCTCTGCAAAAGGATGTCAGTAGGCTCGACATCTGTCTCCACAAAAGCCTCAACTGATCTAAAACATTGATATGTAAATATATTAGAACTATTTTTTTCACTGTATTATATATTAGTTTTTTTTACCTCTTGAACTCAATGTATTTGAGATCATGGAATACACCGTGCTGCCACAATGGGTGCCCTGGAGTTTTGCTTATCATTAACACAGAATCCTGTAGAAAAGTGATTCTTAATTGCTTCAGAAGCTCCAGAAACCCATGTGCAGCTGCAGTTTGCTGGCATGCTCCTGACAAAATCCTGTCGTACCAAAAGTCTACCATTGGGAAAACCTTGCGCTGGAGCGACTTGGCTGGTTTCACTTGGGCTCTTGGCAAGTAGAACTGCCCCTCAGCTGACAGAAATCCAGCTATAGTACGCATCGCACCTCTTGAAAGATTGGTGAGGTATGCACCATTCATTGTGCTGCTATTCCAGCGACCCTGCCTTCTGATATCCAACTCATCGGCACCACTCATGTCAGCCATTCTTTCTGATGATCCATGGGCAGCATGGGTCTTTGCTGTGGAAACGATTCCACAGGCCTTGAACGCCCTGTTGATTGCTTCGAGATGAGTGGAGTAAGGCATTTCCCTGGTTGGTTCCTGGCCAGATCGTAGCAACTTATGGTTAAACCATTCCTCGGATGTTTCAAAAGATGGAAACTGCTCACCATCAATATGCCATCTCCAGAAGAAATAGCATCTGAGTGCCATGAACGGACAAATCTCAACCTTGGAATTTCTCAAGCAGGCTGCAAGCTCAATTCGTCCAAACTGGTTCGTCTTTCCCTGCTTCAAGACCAAGACAAAGGCAGGGCATTTGGAAGGTCCTTCACAATCCAACATGACTGTCTGAAGGTCGACGAATTTGGCTTTTCTTGCGGATTCGCCACGGAGTATACAAAAATGTGACAGGAGAAAAGACACCGCATTTCTCAGGCCACCTCCGCTTGATCTCAAGAAATAATAGCTAACAATGCTAGCAATCTCGTTCTCTGTGGTGTATCCATCCACCAGAGTTCCAAGGCCACGGTCCTGGTTTTCAGCACGATGGGTACGCTCATCGTTGAACTTCATGTTGTCTAACAGCTGGATACAAGCCTTGCGAGGGTGAGGGTGGTTGTTCACACCAACTTTAACTTGCTTCTGGTACATATCCACAATAGCAGCAAGATAGGCCATTGCAGTTCCATACTTGATGGTTTTTCCAGTGTCTCTTCTGTGGGTTTGGTTGACAACCTAACAGAAGAAAAAATAATTAATTCAATTACTTACAAAATATATCTCCAAACAACAGCAAAAAACTTACACAGTCTTTAAGAAATAAATGGAGCTTATCTCCATATACAGTGTAGCAATTTTCGAGGGGAATGCTCAAGAAAGCTTCATCACACCAATCTTTATACTCTTTTTGCTTAGAAGCATAGCTTCTCTTTGTGTTCTCTGGTCTGTTAACTTCAGCTTCGCGAGAAGTAGACACCTGGGCCTCCATCATTCTAACATTCACATCAGAAGTTGCGGCGGAATAGCTAGGAATCTTTGGGTTCATTTTGAGTAGATATTAAAAGATCTGGGAAGATGAAAAGATAGCACTTTTACATGCTACTTATATTAATGTCGCCAGAAAATTCATGTAATTTATTATGCTTAGTAATAGGTGACTAAGAGAAATTCCGACATTAAGATATTGCTGCACTTATATATGAGAAACAAGACAAGTACTTAATAAAAGAAACCTGCTTCTTCATCAATATGTTAAAGAACATATATAAAAATATAATGATAATTTTTTAGATGTGTGTAAAAAAACCGAATTTTTAATAAAGTTTTATTAGGCTGCATATAACTTATGGAAAAAAAATAATCGTGGTGACCTTCATTGAAAAGAAATAATTATTTTGGGTGGGAACCTAAGATATTGGCCGTTATTCCAGCGTCGGTCATTAAAAATGAACGTCTAGAGAAATCTTTAGAAATCCTCACCCCTTAATAATAAGAGATAAATAAAGGGGAAATTGGGACAAAATAATAAAATAAATAAAATGGAAGAAATTTGACAAGAGAGATCAGAGATAATAGACAGTATCTTTGAAGAAAACTTGTATCAGAAAAATTTGACAGTTATTTATTGATTGATTTTAAAGTGATATTTATACTACTTTATGAATAAAATATATGGCAAAAATAGGCTAGATAAAACTCAGTGAGATAATCGTAAATAAAAATATAAAGAAAAATAACTATATAAATATTTTGTCATGAAAGAAGAAATAGATGAAATTATAATATATAACTACAAGAAAAAGAAAATATTGGAAGGAAGTATGTTATAAATAAAAGAAAAAAACTATTCAGTAACAATTTTGGTAAAGTAGTGTTTGAGAGGAAGCGTCACATTTAGTGTGCAGGAATAAAATAAAAAGAAAAGGGAGAAAACAATTTTGGGAAAAATAAAGGAGAAAGATTTTAATTTTCAGAAAAATTGGTTTTTAAAAAAAGACAATTTTGTGAAAGTGGAAGAAAGAAATTAAAATTAAAATTAAAATTTTGAAGTAAAATTAAAAGGGGCTTTCAAAAGAAGGTCTGAACTTGGTAGAATTTGTTTTTTTTTGGACTGAGGCCAACAACGTCACCACACCATGTGTCATTTGTGACATAATGCGTCGTGGCTTTTATTAGCCACAGTACTAGTCCCCTTTTCAATCGATTTCAACCTTTTTAATCAGTTACAAAGTCTCAAACCTCCAATTATAATTTTATATTTTAATTTTAATTTTAATTTTATTTATATTCTTTTTATTTCTTATTCTAAAAATTTGACTTGTCATTATTTTTATTTTTATTCTTCTCCAATTTTCTGAAGACAAATTTCCCTTCCCTTTATTCTTTCCTAAAATTAGTTTCTCCCTCTTTTATTTTTCTTACTTTTCTTATGCACTTGTGAAGTTTTATAGAATAAAATCAACAGTAAAAAGATTGAGACTTATATAAGAATACTTTGAGACTGTATATAGATTGTCTTTATTAAAGAATACAAAGTTGTCCTTTTTATATCAAAACACGATCTGCTTTGTCCGTCACATCTTAATTTCTTAAGTCTGAGTTCATTTAGATATTAGAGAGCTGGTACTGCTATGTTTATAATTTAATCTTATTGCAGTGTCATCATATTAACTCAGTGTTTACTGAGCTGTCATAATTACAGTACTTACTGTAATTAATTATTGGTCTTATTGATTTACTATAAGTAAAATAAATAAATTATTCATTTGTTCTTGTAATGATAGCTACTTTACTATAATAATAGGAATATGTTCTTAGATGTAATAAATCCAACAACCAAGTGTCTGGATCACCACATCTACACCAGCAGTTAACTTGCTTTGTCTCCAGAAGCTCACTTCTCTAATGATCAGTACTTGCTAGGAGATTTGGTCTATACACCATTAATAGAAATAGTTTCTGGGTACAAAAAGCCCCCCAATGGTACACTCTCAGCCAACAATGTACTTTTTAATCAACTGCATGCCAACTTATATGTCCAAACCGAGCATTGCATTGGTATTCTCAAGTCAAGATTTGAATTGCTGAAAGGTCTCCATACAAGTGTCTATGACAAATACAACATTGAGAAAATTGAATACTGGATAAGATGCTGTTGTGTTTTACACAACTTGTTGTTGGACTGTGGTGATGACACCTTTGTAGAAGACAGTGTCAGAAACACTGCTACATCTAGAAACAATGAAAGATTAGAGTCAAGAACATCATCAGAGTTAGGCAAAAACAAAAGAGAAAGAATAAAGCAAATAATTATTCAATAAACACTTTTGAATACACTCTTAAACTTTTAAAATATACTTTTTTAAATATATTTTATTTTGGGTTTTGCTTCAACTGCTTGACAATCTCTTCCTTTGAGAACCCAGCAGCAGACCATGCCTGGACAAGGGCTGCCTGACGTTGGGCCCTCTCACTGTCTGCTCTGATTCTCTCAGTGAGAGCTCTCATCTCCTTCACAGCCACTATTTTCTCCTCAAGCACTAGCTCCGTCTTCCAGAAGACCTCTTCAGCAGCAAGGTTCTGCCGGAACTGCTGAATATTCTCCCTTTGCATTTCTTTCACCATGCGGACTATGTTCACAATGCCAGCATTGATGGTCTTGCAGACCTTCTTCCAAGGACGGTTTTATGCAGTATGAGAGGTTGCAGAAAACGGTCTCCTTTGAGCAGAGCTGCTCGACTTGCCAATCTCCTGTCTGCCATTCATGAGGACTTCCTCATCGTCAAACATGTTGAATGTGTCAAGAGAGAAAACACTCTCAACATCAGCTTCCTCATTGGAGGACATGGGGAAGGGGAGGATGACAGATGCACTGGAAAAATTAAAAAAATAAGGTAGTTTAAATATGGGGTATAGTGTAGTGTAATTTTCATATTTAAATTAGTTGATTTTTTTTTCCACTTGTGCTGAAGGTGACCTTCACAGATAGTGGAATGACTAGAGTCAACTAGCGGAATTGTGGGTGGGGGGTGCTGCAGGTAAGGTTTGTTAGCACTTTAGATATACTTATCTGACTTGATATATAAAAAGAAAGTTTTTTAAAACTGCGTATCTATTTTGATATTCTTTATATGGAACCATAAAGGTCAGGCACCGACATATTATGAAGATTAAAAGTAGCGTAAAGGTGACCTTTAAGCTAGTTTATTGTTAAGAAGTTTGGTCATCAGAAGCAAAAAAAGGCGTCTTTAAAATTATGGACCAGTAATATGTTCTTTATTTATTTGGTTTCCTGTTCTTATTAGGCTGATAATGGTTTACACTTTTATTTTTATTGGAAAGAATAGAATGTTTCTAGGTTTCAGATCTAATAATACTATTCTATATCTCTAGCTACTTCTTGCTCGGTCGGTTTGTTATATTTGGGATGAAAAATTTTCTACAAAAAAAAAATACCTAAAGAAAATGAGCTGCTCAATACGTTTTTTTTTGGGGTACGAGCAGTACTCTTTGAGAATAGATAAATCGTTAGTGATGGGTGTGCGTGTGTGTTGGATATTTCAATTCTTATAAACCATTAATACTTACATTGGAATTATCCAGTACAAAGTTCAAACAATAAAATATTACAAGTAAAGCTACGGAATTTTGATTCCTTTGACTATGAAAATGATTGGAAAAAATTAATTTTTGTGAATTGGGCGATATAATTATTAATTTACATACCCAAAGCAAACGGATTTATTTGTAGATATAGATAATACTTATCAAAAGTCGATATAGTATCTGGTAGTTTTTTTTATTAATAAACAGTATAAGTAATATAATGATACATATAAGGATAGTAAAAGAACAAAAAAAGTCTTACCATGTCAATGACAGCAGCATGAGATAGAAGCTTTTGATCCATAGCATGTTTTGGAGAGGATTGTTCATCTATAGTAGAAATTGGATTCAGTTTGATTAATATTAAAGAGAAATATAATAAATAAATAGATAAAAATATTACCGTGTTGGTGGTTGTGTTTAGCTGTAGAAAATATTTTGGGTGATATGTCCTATAAAAAAGAAAGGAAAAAATCAGGATACTTTTATGAGATGATGGTATGAAGTATATTTACTAACCTTGGCTAATCCGGATGGCCATTGTGAAGAGGATGCATCAGAAGGAAACTATACGCGAGTGACTATGGTAGCAGAAATGCTTGTTATTACTCAGCTATATTTGAAGAAATTACTAATAAAGAAAAATAAAGAAAAAAAGCGCCTTACCAGGAACATGTGCAAGTATAAGAGTAAAAGAGAAAGAAAGAAGTAAAAATAAAAGAGAGGGCGAGTGTCTATGGCAACTGAAACAACTAATTCTTTTTAGTTATATAAAAAAAAGTACTTTAAAAAAGTAGATTAAAAAAAAAGTCTAATAAAAAAATAAAAAAATGGGTGGAGACAGCGACGAAGAGTGTGTCTATGGCAACAGAATAAATAAATTCTTTTATTTTCTATAAAGAAGACTTTTTAGAAAGAACATGTCTTACACAAATAGTTCGCAAATATAATAGAAGTTGCAGAGATAGAGAAACAAAGAAAAGACCAATAGCAAATATAAAGAGCAAAAAAAAAAGAGAAACAGGAACAACAACAAAAAAAGAAAAAAAAAGAAAAAAGAAAAGTGCGTTTGAAACAAAAGACTAGACTGGTTTGATCAATTGGGTTCTAAAGCAGTATGAAAGCCGATTTGCATCTCAGTGATTACAAGAAGTATTAATAGAGACTTATATATCAAAGATATGCTGAATATCTATATAAACCATACGTTTTATACAATTTGTTTACTCTTTCTCCTCCTTTCTTGCTACTTATTGCACTCATACTCAAACACACACACATCAACCCATTTTATTTCAAATAATTTAAGTATGTAAATTTGATATAATTTATTTTTAATTCAATTCAATTCAATTGTATAATAGCATCAATAACAATGTAATCTAAAATTAACAGTTACATTTTTACCTTTTATTATATTCTGTAGACAATGGCTATTCAAAGACGTCAACTTGCTCTTCGTCCCGTTGAGATTACAAACGAACAATTGATGGAAATTCTTTCTACTTTGAAAACTAATATGACAGCCATGGGAACCAACATGGCAGCTGACATGTCGATTGTACAAGAACAAATCGGCACTGTTGAAGATACATTGCTAAACATGAATAGCAGAATTGGTGTTCTTGCCACCAGCAGCACTGAGATAATCACTGCTATTGACAGTTTAAGCAGGGCCCCCCTCGTTTCCCCTACCAATACAATGGCTAATGTTTCTCAGCCTGCCTTCAACGCCCCGTCTGAGTTTAGCAAGAAGGCCTCTAATGATGTTTATGTGAGTATCAACATGTGCAAAATTTTATCAATGTATTTTCTCATATATTCTATCAGACCCATATTCGTAATCTCATGTGCACTGCAAAAAAATGCCCGATTCCCATACGTGATAGGATGTAAAATTCTGTGTGATTTTTGAAATACATTCCGAATATTATACAACAATTCTCAGAATGATAGGAAAACTAGCTACTAAATATTAAACACCTAGATTCTATGGATAGAATGGGTCTGTGCGCGGTCATAGAGTTCTGTTATATCTCATTATATCCGAAACCTTAATTGAATTCCGAGTTTTTTTTTCTAGTAAAACGTTACATTTATTTTGTGTATTGCCTATTTATTCTTGTTTCGGACTCATTCAAGAAGGTGTATATTTCAACAATCTTCTGATGATAGCTCAACTATCTTCTGGCAAGTATCAATCTTATTGGACGGATACTCCATTTACAATTTGAATTTCATTATTTGATTGATCAAAAAATATACTTCTTGTACTTTTATTTAAAAATAGTTCACGGGAAATAGTTTACAAATGGGTTTTTATTTTATTTTATTAAAAAAATCTCAAAATAGGTTCTCTAATAATCGGCCTTGGATAGTTGGCATTTGGTCTGGGCATTTGATCCAGACATTTGACATTGGGTCTTTGTTTTGCATTCTCGGTTTTGGGTTCTTGATTTTAGGTACTGCGATTCTACTTTGATCATTAATAATATCTCTTACCTTTCGGGATAAATAAATGGGAATACTGCAATACCTCTTTGAATATTAAGGGAAGGGGCAGAATCTTGGGATGACCAAAATCGATTTTGTCATTTTCAAAACATGTGTGTACAGACCAGATTTATTCTTTGGAAATAGAGGATCATATTGCTACGGATAGCATTTATATAATTGTTGGTGTACTCCAAGTATTCCTGATAGAAAGGGAAAAAAATATGATTAGTATGAGAGAATAATAATTATAAAGTCTTGCTTACCAGAAAAAGTGATTCTTTGGCATCCTTTTAATGCGTGCGTGCAAAAGAGAGATAGAGAAAATCTAATAAATTCAAAATGATAATGAAGAAAGTATAACGTTAATATAAGTGATTAGAAGATATTCTATTAAAGCTTACCATGTTTATTTCCATCATTAGCTTTTGATGGTTGTCATCATCATCGTTTTGCATCTAAAGATTAATAAGCTGATGATTAGCATCGCGCAATAAAAGTTGTTTGCTTTCTTATTCACCTTTGTAAGCCAGTGTGTTATATTAACTCGTGCAGGATGCCCTACATAATAAAGACGATAGAAGTTTTTTAGTGTTAATAATCATGTAAAATAAAGTAAAAAGAAAATATTAAGTATTTACCATAGTGTAGAAAAAGAAGCAAAAGTAAACAGTATAAGAGAAAGAGAGAGAACAAAAAAAAAGAAAATAAAAAAAAAAGAAAAATAAAAAAACAAATTGTAAGAGTAGTGAATAAGCTCATTCTGTTCTCAGAATTTATTAGGGTCTATTATAATTTAAAACGTGTGTCCCTATAATTTTTTCTTTTGTTGCTGTACACCCAAGAAGTATTGGGACATATAAATACTACTTCTATTTGCCAGATTATTATATCCTCCCTCACATTTTATTAGAAACCTCACATACTATTACTGTGCTTTACCATGTATGTTTGTATAATTAAAATAATATTTCATAATATTCTTCTATATATGCTTTATTTATTTATATTTATTTATTTTTTAAAAAATATGTAAATATCTGTAGCATGCCTTCCAATGCCACTAGAAAATCAGGACGCAAAGGCAAACAGAATGCCCAAGGAACACTTAGCCGTGTTGCTGCCGGCCGGATTGAGCAACGTGAGATTGCTCCAAGAGTATCGCCACTTGCAGCTGGTCCAAGTGGGGCAGAGGCTCCTGGAATGACTGTCGAGTCCCTAACGCAGGTTATGGCAGCCATCAACATGATGTACAATCGTACTGTCGAAGCCAACACTGGAATTCGTTTTCTGGTCGATGCTCACAACCAAGCCATTGCCCAGCAAGCTCTTGTTGCATCTTCTGTAACTCAGGGAGTAACTGCCGCCAATGTGTCTACAAATAGACACACCAAAGGCGAAATGCATGCAATTGTTCTGGTATGATTTTTTCTGACTTCATGCTTTAACACACTACCTAAATAATAATAATAATAATCATATAGAATCTCATCAATGGGAGAATGTGGGCAAGAAACTTCCGTTCGAATGATTCTGAGCTTGTTGCTGAAAACGAAAGCCGCAGGTGATGGAACACGGATGAGAGGATCGATCATCCTGACAATGTTGAGGTGATTAATTACCTCCGACAGTATATCGTTGCCCAGCCTCGCACAGCTGGGTTCTGGGAGGATATGATAGTGCAGAAAATAAAAAACAATTACAAGACATGTTTTCGTGCTGTCAACGCAACCCCCAAGCAAGCGTCTTCCAAAAGGCGCAATAATCGTATCAACAGCCGTCGCATTGAGGTAAAATTACAAACAAAAAAAAGAAATTAAATATTTTGCATTCTGTTCTAATCATTTTAAAATATATCTAGATTCACTTGCGTTGTGTTGATACCTACATTAACAATTGGCTAGCAATTGACACTAAGATGGGATACAAGCCAGGTAACCCTGATGAGATAGCATACTTGCATCTCCTCGAGAAGAGTGTGATGTCTGATGGTGAATCGGAAGATGAGGACGTCACTCCTATAATCCGTGTGCGGGTTTTGCAGGTTGCTCGTCCTAGTTGGAGAAGTGCTGAGGTAATTTTTTTTAAAGGTGTACACTATAATATATTTCTATAAAAAGATGACTGTACAGAAATAAACTAACTAATTATACATAGCTGAATAGGCTTATTCAGTTCATTGATTTCTTGGCATCAGAGAATGACAAGAAGATTGCAACACCACAATCAAAGCAAAGAATGCCCAGATACCTAAAAACCATTGCGGTCACTCCTGTCCCCGGTCACCTGACCGCGATCCTTCCTGTCTGGGCAATTCAAAACCAATAAAAACAAACAATTTGCTCTCTTTTTTTTTCACTGTCATATTAAAAAAATTGAATAATATTATTAAAAAGAAAAGAAGGGATAATTATATATTTTAAAAGTAAAGTTTTCTAGGCAAAGGAACAATAAGTTTTTTGCTGATATTTCGTAATGTTGTATGGTCAACAATTGCAACAGGAAGGAGAATTCGGTGCACTGGCAAGATGCTTTGAAAGTCAGGCAAAGAAAACGCGACATCCCATATTTCTACGCCTGCAATTTTTCTACTTGTCTCCTTGGAAGCCTTGTACCATTTTACATAAGCAAATGTATGTTGGCTACTTTGGGGTGTTCTGTGATGTGGAGTAGAAACAAGTGGACTAAATGAGTGAACAAATAGGTACTGAATCTCTCTGACATACGCATACTTTGCTCCATTTCGACCTTCTATGAACATTGCTTATATATATGATCCTCTTCCATTCGTACCTCTACTTCCCTTGAATGTCTGTCCAAGGAGGTTGACGGATTTGAGCATTTCGATCCAGTCATTGACGAAAGCTGTATCTTGAATCACGTCTTTGCAACTGAAGATGGTGGGATCGTTGTAAACAGCTTGGTAATATCCTACCAAACAATCATACTCCTGTCTTGGCATCATCTCATACGCTTTTTTTTGCAAGGGCAGCGCTGATGGCGGCAAAGGCTCGTTACCACGAATTGACAAGTTCGGATTTTCGGCAGCATCAAGAAAGTCTGGTAGAGAGAACCAATTGTACAAGGCGGTGCTAGTTGTAGAATCAGCAGGACTATAACCAGTTACCAATTTATCGAAGATGCCGGAGAAATTGAATGGACCAGATGTCTTCAAGAAATTGCGAACAAAATCGCCTTTACGGGTATCTTCAATGAATGTTTTCATGTATGTCATTTCAAAGCCGCTCCTTCTGTTGGTATTGATATTCTTTAGGACGCTGTTGTATCGCTCAAAACTAAAGAGCCAGTACCCATAAACAGGCCCAAAGTCCTTGATTGTGTCGCGAAGATGAAGATGGAGATGCATGTTTGGAGATAACAGATCCTTGCTATACAGCCTTTCACAACCTTTACCGAACTTCTCAAGTGCTATGTGTGCTGACTGTACATCATCTTCGGAAACATTTGGCTTGGTAAGGAAACGGCAGGCATTCACAAAAAACATCCAATTCTCAAACTTTTGCTTTGGTAGTACGCCTTGTAGAACCACTGGAGAGTATACCAGACACCACGATTTCCACTCGTCTGCCTTCATAAAGGGAAATCCCTTTGAAATCTTTGATCTTAGCATGGTGTAATCAGGCAGCAATGTCATGTTTTCAACGATTTTCTGCATGGCAACGAGTTTTTTATTGTCAATTAGACCATCTGCAACCCATTTCTCCATCATCCTCTTGGCTGTGCCTAAGAAGAGATTGTGCATTGGATCAATGATCGTGCAGCGGACAACGTCAAAGTACTGGAGACGATGCAGTTCGGACCAGCGAACACCATTTTCAACTTCAAGACGATGTCTCTCAGCTTCAGTGGTTGCATTCCTCCAGACCTCAGCATCCTTACAATTATCATTCTTAGTGCGGAGCCACTTTGAGAAATCAAATCCAGAATAATCGACAGAGCTCGTTCCAGCTAATCGGGAGAATTGGCGATTACATTTGTGGCATGTGTTTGTACTGGTATGGGACGTGAATCCACACACTTTTCGGGCAGCAGGGATGTCGCAGGCAACCATAAACAGAGCAGCGCGGATGGTGGTACCATTTGGGCATTGATATGTCTGGACTCTGACTCCCTTGTACAACTTTTCTAATTCGTCAACCAGAGGTCTGAGGTACGAATTTATCTTGGATGTTTTTGCTTCTTTCGGACCTGGCATTAACCCAATGAGAATGATATTTTCTTTCTTGAATCTTACACTTCGAGGAAGATTGTTTACAGCCAGGTAAATTGCACCACACGAATATGTCACACCGTCGAATGGCTGGAACCAGTCAATGTTTAAGGTCAACATCAGTGAGTGGTTGCCATGAACAAAGGGAATTCCATTGGTGTCTTTCAAATCCTTCCACATCAAGCCATCGTACACATCGAACATAGTATTCTCAGCCTTCGGGCTATGGTTCCACGAGTCGATTTGGGTTTCAAAATCAGGCCGAGAAAAGAGAGCTTTGATCGAATTCTGAACAGAGTGATACACATATGTTCTTTTTGGAATGGACGACTGATTTCCCGACTTGAACAAACTATTACCGCACATTGAGTTATTCCCAAATTTATCAAAGATACAGAAGCGGGGTGTTGATTCATTGTTCTCATATATGCTGTGACATTTGCTACAAGAAACATATTTCTTTATACCGTCTGTAAAGGTATTGAATCCTGCCATGCTTTTGAGACCAGGGATGCTAACTGGGAGACGGAATGGATCTCTGAAAAGCTCAAGTATTTTGTTCATGATGGCAATGAGAAGAATGGCGCCTTCATCGACGACGTACAAGGATACAAATAGTGCAAGGACCTGTACGATAAAACGATGGATGAAACTCAATTCTGAGTTGAATTCAGGAAAGTTGTCTTTTTTAAAAAAAATTAATTTCTATTATTTTATACAGCAGAACCTAATATCCATTATGAAAGTGTGCAAACCTTCACTATCAAGCATGTCATCCTCAATGGAATCGTCTTCGCAACCGTCAGAATCAAGATCAGAGTTAAACTCTTCATTCTCATAACCAAAGACAGCATTGGATTCTGAGAGAGGTAAGACTCGAATAGGCTCTTGTGTCTCCATGTCTACTTCTATACTGGTGTCCATTTCTACTGGAACCATAAAAGAAGTTAGAGCAAATAAAAATAAAAATAAAAATATATATTTTTACCATCAAAGTCATAATCCATATCATAATCATTGTCTATGGCCACCGAGTTCTGTTCATCATTGTTGATAACTTCAGGAACATAGCTTACAGTAGTTTCGACTGATCTCTTAATAATCACTACATTACATATGTTATTAAATCGAAAATATAAATATAAATATAATTAAAACATAAAAGAAAATTCCCTACATCTATTACGAAAGATGTTCATTCCAGCATCGTCTCTTCTTTTATGAAAATTAAATGTCTGTACAGACACTGTATCTGATCCTCCAAATCTTGTCTTGCAAACAGAACATTTGCATTCTTTTGTTTTGTTTGATTTACGGGTTGGTGCCATTGCTTAATAATTATTAAAATAATATTATTTTTTAAACAGTAAAGAAGATAAATATATATTCAGGTACAGTTTATTTCATTCAATTTAAGTTTATTATTGTATTTTTTTATGCTACTCGGTACTCTATGACCAATAGAATCGTTTTAAAAAAATTGCAATGCTTATTCTACAAAAAAAAATCCTGCACTACAAATTTGGGTTTTCTGTCCACCGAATTTTACATCCCATCACGTATGGGAATCGGGCATTTTTTTGCAGTGGTGGGATCCCAAGCTGAAAACAAGAAATCAAGCTGATATCCTGGCAAATGAGAGTAAGCCCAGATGGAATACAAATGTTTTCTTTTACAATTCGCCAAACAAGGAGTTGGTGGTGCGACTTCTGGAAAACTTGAAGCGCAAGTTTACCCATGAGGGATTTAGAGAGGCAGACTTGAGAGCAAGACTGCACAAAAACTTCACCAGCCGGGTTTCAAAAGCAAGAAAAACCGAAGAGGAAATAAAAGCAACAAACACTCGTTCGAGAAGGGCAGGACGTGCCAGAGATGTAAGTGTAATCTCTAAATAAATAATTTCAAAATAATATAGTTTAGTCTTGAGAATTTTAAAAATACTAATACAAAAAAACTACTATTAGAATTATACTCGCCGTTTACTTGCATACACAGACAGCAAAGAAGCAATTGATCTACAAATGAAGAGAGATTGTGACTTCACGATGCAAATGGCAGCAATGTCCGATAGAGAATCTGCAGATGAAGACTTCGAGAATCGCACGAAGAGCATCGTCAAGATTGTTTGGCCAGGATGGAGAAGTGACGAGGTATATTATTTTATATTAATAATTATGTCTTATTATAAAAAATATAAAGTGAAGTATTAACAAAATCATTTTAGTTTAATACTCTCATTAAACTTGTTGATGAGTATGTTATTAAAGCAATGGGGTCAAGTGCTTCTCAAATGAAGGAGAGGGTTTTCACCAGTGTGTCCAATACAGCAGTCCCAGATGACATAACCCCCAAATTTCCTCAGTGGGCCCTTAGAGATGGGTATTAAATAAACAAAAATTGCCTCTCTCTTTTTATCTATATATTACTTTTCACATACAAAATACTATCAATATATATATCAGAAATACGCGCTCTGTTTTTTTTGTTAAAGAAAAAGAAATGTAAAAGTTCACTTTATTTATTATTTAAGCATATAGCTTCTTTGGCAATGGAATTACCAGCATTTTGCTAACATTTCTACTTGTTGCAATAGTAGCTGTAGCAACCTCTAATAAGATGCGATGTACAGGTATAATGCTATGGTAGCTATCAGGAGAGAACGTGGGCAAACAAAATTCAACACCGTCATCCTCACGCGACCTATCAGAGGAAGTACGAAACCACTTGATAAATGCGAATACATGTTGATGATCATGAACTATGCGAGTCAGATGGAGATTGTGCGTGGGTGGAAGTTGGAAGGAGTGTGTAAAAAGATACTGAATTTGTCCAGCAAATCCAAGTATAATGTTTCCATTACTACCAACAAACTTTGCCTGAACAAGTGATCCGCAACTGATTGTGCTGTTGTTTGTTCCTCGATAGTGTTGACCAAGAATGTTAATTGACTTCAATTTGATGATTTGATTGTCAAGTGCTGGGCGATTATAGGACGTGTCCTGATAGCTGGCAAGGTCTGGGAGGTTGTAAGCGACTTGGTAATATTCAAGTAAATGGAGATAGTCGGAATCATCCATTACTGATGGCTTTTTGTATTTTAGAGGAAATGTAGAAGGAGGAAGAGGCTCGTTACCCTTGGGTGGATTATAAGGATCAGTGTAGCCTTGAACAAATGCTTGCAATCTGAATGGGCGACTAGAGAGAGTGGTGACTGTGGCGGCAGGTATGGAGGTTGTAACAAGTTTAGACAGAGTGTGAATGAAGGGGATCTGGCTAGAACTTTTAAGAACAGCATTGACATAATCACCCTTATATGCATTCTGAACAAAATTTTTCATGTAGGTCGCCTCAAAACCATCTTTGCCATTTGTCTTGAAATTCTTTAAAATACCATTGTATTGCTCAAACCCAAAGAGCCAATAACCATACACTGGTCTAAAATCACGAATGCATTCATGAAGATGGAGGTGTAGGTGCATATTGCAGGTGAGAATAGTGGCGGTATAGTCTATGTTATATGCATTGCAAAACTTTTCTAACAGGCTGTGGGCAGTGGTGATCTCATCAAAAGTAATGCTGGGCTTTACGTAGTATCGGCATGCATCAACAAAATACATCCAGTTCTTGAATTGTAATGGAGGGAGAATACCATGCAACAAGACAGGAGAATAAATCAGAACCCATGATTTCCACTCGTCCGCTTTCATGTAGCTGAAGCCCTTTCCAATTTTGGTTGTCAGTGTGGTGTAATCTCTGGGCAGTACCATTGTCTCTGCAATTTTCTCCATCGAAGCAAACTCTTCAGGTCCAATTGTCTTCTCATCAATCCACCGATCCATTAATCTCTTAGACGTCCCCAGGAAAAGATTATGCATGGGATCAATGATCGTTCCACGTACTAGATCAAAGTATCCAAGGTGTTGCAACTGTGACCATCGAACACCATTTTCGACCTCCAGCTGATGCCTTTCTGAGAGTGTACTTGCATCCTTCCACTCCTCAGTATGCAACCTGCTCTCTGCACCACTGCGGATATTCCAACGAGAATAATTTAATCCATGGAAATCAACCTGGTTGCTGCTCCCTAACCAAGTAAACTGCCGGCTGCACCTGTAACAAGCACATGTGCTGTTATGCGCTGTGAATCCACTTGTCTTTCTGGCGGCTGGGATATCACATGCAACCATCAGTAGTGCAGCACGAACACTGACACCATTTGGGAATTCATGTGTAGGAATCCGCATGTCAACGTACAGCTGCTTCAAATCATCCACCAAGGGCTCCAAGTAACTATTGATCTCGTTGGTTTTTGGCTCCTTTGGACCAGGCATGAGACCTACAAGGATAATATTCTCTGGCTTGAATCTTTCATCACGGGGCAAGTTGTTGATGGCCAGATAGATAGCACCAGAGGAGTGAGTGACACCATCAAAGGGCTGGAACCAGTCGATGTTAAGTGTTAACATTAGTGAGCGTAGGTTCAACACAAATGATACACCATCCTTGTCCTTCAACTCCTTCCATATCGCACCATCATAGACATCGCACAGAGTATCTACCATCTTCAACTCCTTATTCCATTGACAAATCTTGGCTTCGAAACTAGGGCGACGGAAGAAAACGCTCAATGTATTTTTAATGGATTGGTAGACATATTCACGCTTTGCAACCAAGGCACCGGAAGATATGAATTTCGTCAAATTACAGTTGCATGCAGACCTGGCACCAAGTTTTGAGGAAACACATCGAGGAGGAGCAGATACGATATCCTGATATACTGTATGACAGTCTTGGCACACCACAAATTTCTTGATGCCTTTTGTAATAGCAGAAAATCCTGTCATTTTTTGTAAACCGGCAAGACTGGTTGGTAATTGAAAATCTTGGTCGTAGATTCTCAGCAGGTTGTTGATAAACTCAATCAAGACAGCAGCACCCTTATCAACAACATGACGTGAAGCAAACAGTACCATAAAGATGGCTATGAATTGATGGACTTCATTTTTGGGCATATCAGGAGCAGCAAAAGGGTCTGTAAAAAATTAAAAAAAAATTAACACTTGATTTTTCTTTTACTCTCTTTTTCTTTTAGTTTTCTTTATGTATCTCACACTGACCTTCACTGTTGAAGTCTTCAATCTCGATCTCATTGACTTCATCTTCAACATTGTCATCGAAATCATTGTCATCTCTGTCATTGTCAAACATTGAGGCGGCATCCAAAAAAGGTGAGTTGGCCTGACCGTCCATTGCTTCCGCAGAATCGGAACGAGACGTCGGGATTACTACAAATATGGAATATAATAGTTTATTAGTTTTTTTTCTGCTTTCAAATAAAAAAATTCTTACCCTCAGTATCTACATCCATGTTTCTCATTGCGGCTGTGTTTCATTAAAAGTTTAAAAATAAACAACATAAATAAAAAATAAAAAATAAAAAATTAAAACGATTATTACGCAGCAAACAAAAAACCAACACTGAATATATTATACTATTCTCAAATATTCTGGTACCTTCAACTCTAGTTCTCTTATTACGACAAGTCTCAGTACGCTTTGCAGCATAAGAAGATTTCTGATGACTGTTGTGACATTTAATGCAGTGACAGTCTAAGGTGTGGATTTGGGTAGAGGGAAACATATTGTGTATAGCTTGAATTATAAAATAAAAAAGGAAACAAGTACTACAAATACTTTATTTGATGTGATTTTATAGCAAGCCAAAAAAATATGAATTTTTTATTGTCTATCTAAACCAATAGAATACGTCGAAAATACACCCCCAACTTAAATAAAAAAACGGCTGAGCTGAAAAAAAACCCTGACATTTCCACTACCTTTCTCGTTACTTAAAGCTATAGTATTTTTTTATTTTTCCAGTGTTCGTTGGTGTAATATTGACAGTAGACATGTTTAATAGCAATATGTGTAAATAAAAAATGCGCTTTCAGGGGATATAGAATCTTTGTTTCAAACAAACAATTCAAAAACAAGAAAAAGTATTGGCAGTCACTATTTCGGTTAAATATTTATGTCAGAGTTGACATTGGTGAACAAAAGTGGTAGTTATAAGCAATCAGTAAGAGTTGACTTTTTAGAATAAAAGATCTTGACTTTGCCGATTAGTCTTTCATATATGTTTTAGATGTTTAAGATGGTGAATGTACTTGTAGAAGATATTACTGGACAACAGGCATCTAAGACATATTATTGTAGCTATTCTTTTAGCCAGAAATCAATTATCATTTTGTATAAATAGTCAAGAAATATATTTAATAAAAAGCATCTTCATTCTTATCTAAAAACTATTCATAAACTTGACGATCCCCAGTGGTATTGATTCTGCGACTTAGTTACAAGTGCCAGAAAAGAAATACCAGATCGAGACTTGACATTTATGACATATCAGGAAATATAGACTTTCCAAAAGTATCAAAAATAATTGAATACACAAAGAGATGATAACAGATATCTTCATCAAATGGAGAAGCTGGGCGTCGATCCCAGTGCCTCTCGCATGCTAAGCGAGCGCTCTACCATTTGAGCTACATCCCCACTGCTCTTTCGCTTAAGCATTTTATTTGCCTGGTTCCAAAATTTTATTTTTGACGAATCCACATATAAAGTGTATCCATCCATCAACATCTTTACGCAAAACGATCCATCCATCACGAAAAACGTACCTCCCATTGCCAAAAGTAGTGCAGTCCTTGTCCTTGGTATCCCAGCTGTCAGCAAAAAAAAATTTCAGCTCAATCAGACAACATCACGCCATCTGCATTCTCAATCCCAATGGCCAATTTGCAAATCGGCAACATGCAGGGATTGCCAACCGAGCTTACCTCATTCCTGACAACATTGCAGGCACAAATCATGAATGTGCAAAACAGAACCGACCAGTTGGAGCGACTTGCAGCAGAGAATGCAAGACTAACTACTGAATTAGACCATGCTAGAACAACAATTGCTAATCTGCAGAAGCAATTAGGATCTCAGAGTGCATCTGAAAAAAACTTTTCAGAAATTTCACTTTCGAACCCAGCCGGCGCAGTAGGTGCTCCTGACAAAAACAAAGAACCAGGTCTGGAAGCCTCCACTTGGGCTACTAAAGCCAGTGTTTCTCTTCCTGTAACTGCCCCAAAAATGTCTACTGTTCCCTCTGCTCACCGTATTGCAGCTTCTGTTCGTATGTTTGCTCTTCCCTCTGGTCCTTCAGGTTATGAATATGTTTATATTCCAAGATCAAGACGCCTTAAGCACAAAGAAGTCCGTTCCTCTCTCCGCACTCTTGGTGTGGATTCTTCTCGACTTTTGGACATTAACTTCCCAGCCAGAGGTGTCATTGGCATCCTTGTTCATGTCCAGTATGCTGATACATTTAAGGCCAAACTGACAACTGCTTCTGTTGAGATTTTGGACGCATTTGATCCACTTGATCCTGATAATGTTGCTGATCCCAAGTATGCATCTCTGTCCACTCATGAACTTGCCAACACTGCTGCCATGCTTCACCATGATAGATGTCTCCAAGCCCTACAGTTCTTGCGCCCACACGTTGCTATCCCAGTTGGTCACTTCTTTTGTGAGGAAGGGTGGATCAGTGAAGATGAAATACCAACACGTACTACTCTTACCAATGCTACTGGCGGGTCTTTGTTCAAACGTCAGCGCAGCTCATCAGTCACTATGTCTGAATGAGTAATCTCAATATCGGATTATGGAATGCCAATGGCCTGCAACCCAGAGCCATTCAAGATACCCTTCAACACTGTCAGTCCTTACATATGCTCTTCATTACAGAAACATGGCTTCTCTCTCCCTCACATCTTCCCACATCATGGTCACAAATTCACTTGTATGGGTCTCCTGTAGCTGGCACATATAGGGGCTCTATGGGTGTTTCTGTTCTCATATCACCTCACTGTCCTTATGCCGTCACTCAAATACCTATGCCCTCCAAATATGCTCTGGCTGTCAAAATTGGCTCACTCAGAATTGTATGCTTATATCTTCCACCAAATATGCCCACTCATGATGTCCTACATGTACTCTCTTCCATTCCTTTAACATATGATACCATTCTTTGTGGTGACTTCAATGCAAGACTTGGCTCTGTTACTGGTGACTATGCATCAAATTCTCGTGGACTGGCACTATGTTCTTGGATAGAAGAGAGATCTCTATCAGTTGTAAATGCAGATCTTGCACCTTGCATACCAACATATATTTCTTTCCGCAACAACTATGAAATCAGCAGTATTATTGACCTCTTTATAACTAATATGCCACTCATCAATCCTTCTCTTCATATTGCTACTGACTTGTCTCTTGGATCAGATCATCGCCTTTTATCACTTTCCTTTACCTATGATCTACAGCACTCTACCAATATGCCACCACCATTACGCAAGACATGGAACCTCTCACGCCTCAATGAACCTGATGTCCATGCTCTTTATGCTCATACCTTCAATCAAAACTCGACCTCCCTCCTTTCCACCTTGCAAGACATTGTTCAGAATCCACCACTCACTAGACCCAACATTGATGCTATCACTGATGAGTTCAATTTACTCATTTATGACTCATTAAATAGCTCAATTGGACATCGACCCTCTCGCCCAAATCATTGGAAATCCTTCTGGAATGTAGCTTTGCAAACAGCAGCAGATCGTCGTAACCAATGTTACAAAAAATGGCGCCTGGCAATAGGTATTGACAAAGTTGTTTGGTGGACTAAACACAAGCATGCACAGGCCGAATTCCGATCTCAGGTTCAGCAAGCAAAACGTCAGTCTTGGCATGTCTTTTGTCAGTCTATGGAACGTGACTTCAGCAAAGCAACATCAAAGATAAAGCAGTTAAAACGCCGTAGACAGCCGCAACATACTTTCCAGCACGATGATGGACCAGCCGTAGCAGCAGCAACAATGTGTGACTATTTGGCAACAGTATATAGTGGACATATACTTCCAGCAACCCGACCACCAGCACCAATGACCACTTGTAACAGTGTGCCTTTTGCCTCTGATGACTCTCCCTTTACCTCACCAATTGTAGAGGAATTCATGCAATTTATGCCTAACCGCAAGGCACCAGGACCAGACCTTATCAGAGCTGAAATGCTAAAACCTATAAAAACACATGTCTCACCCATTCTTACTTTATTATTTACAGTTTGCTGGCAATGGTCATATGTTCCAAGTTTGTGGCGCCAAGCCCAGGTCTTCCCAATCTTCAAGAAGGGTAGTCCAACTGACCCGGCAAACTACCGACCAATCTCCTTGACCTCTGTACTGCGTAAGCTTTTTGAGATGTGTATAGCCCCCCAGTTGCACAAGTACTCTCCTCCTTTGGATGTGGCTCAAGGTGGTTTTCGTCCTCGCCGTGGTGCTTTGGATCAAGCTCTCTGTCTCCATGATCTGATGAAAGCCTATTATCACCGTCATAAGCACTACCCTGTTGTTGCATTTCTGGATATCAAGGCTGCCTATGATACAGTGGATCGACGAATCATCTGGCATGCTTTACAAAAACGTTGCACTCCACCGGCACTTTTGGGTCTCTTGGTTAACATGTTTGACAATGTCTCTATCTGTGTCCTTTTGGGTAACTTTTCTTCACACTCGTTCTCACCTGCCACTGGGGTTCTCCAAGGTTCTGTCCTCAGTCCACATCTGTATTCAATATATATCAACTCCCTGCCCCCATTGCTCCGCACAGTTGCTCACTCACAAACTACAACCCATGTTCCATCACCCTCTCCTACCTCATTGGATGCATATAATGCTCTTCTTGCTCCTTCAGGTGTAGATGGCTTTGGACATATTCATTTCTCAACACCCATCAATTCTCTGCTCTTTGCCGACGATGTAGCTATTTTTGGTTCTCTTTCAGACGTTCAGGCCATGCTAGACCTTGCTGCAGACCACTCTCTTACTCTTGGATATCGATGGAGCCCCACCAAATGTGAAGTTATATATCCCAAAACACGTGCAAGCTCGCCAGTTTCTCTTCTTTTATATGGTCAAGTTCTCCCTGCCACTGACCTGTTTATTTATCTGGGTGTTCCTTTTGCCAATAAGGGTATTTCTTCCAAGTCCATTGCCACTCATAGACGTTCTGGTACACTCGCTACAATGGCAACCCTAAACTCTGTTGGTGCTTGTCGTTCTGGTTTTTCTCTGCTGCTCAGTTCACGATTGTATAAGACCTTTGTCCGCCCAAAGTTTGAATATGGTTTGGCAATCTCCACTCTACTGAAGCAAGATATCAAAGTGCTGGAGTCCATTCAAGATAAGTGTCTTCGCATGATTGTTGGGGGGCATGCCACGTCCTCTACAATTGTGTTAAAGCACATCTGCAATCTGCCAAGTATGAAGTTTCGTGCCGATGCTCTTATGGCCAAGTTCTGTATAAGATCACGCTTTTTGCCAGCCCAGTGCCTTCTGTCTCTTTTGCACCGTCATCATACCGTCTATTCTTCACTTGTCTCCTTGGGAAAAACCCGTCTTCTGTCCAATCTCCCTCCAACACTCAAACTTCGAAGCCCTAGTGCTGTAAAAAATCATTTTGAAAGCATTAGAGAAGCTGGATTTGCAACCTTTCTCCAGTCTAATACGCAAGTTCTCATTCAAGCATGCCGCCCAGTTCTTGGAGTTGATCCAATCTTGTTTTTGCCAGCCTCACGTGTGGAACGTAGCCGTTTGATTCGTTGGAGAATGGGGTGGTTACCAGGCAAACCAAAGGAATGTCCTTGTGGATCAGATCACACCTCACGCCGCCATTTGTTGGATTGCCCACTTGTTCCTATGGCACTATTTGAACAGTTGCCTCAACCTGACCAAGATCAGATACACAGAATTGATTTTGCCATCACATCCTTGCCTTTGTCATCTCAAGAACCGCGACCTGCTTACTGGATACCACTGCTGACTATTCTCTGGCACATAGATGTTATATGTAATCCTGATGGTGACTATTCACATGAGACTGAACATGGTGCTCTTTGGATATAATTTAGACTTTTTCTTTTCTTTCATAGCTCTTCACTTTTCATTGTTCTTTACTCCCTTTATCTCTCTTCTTTCTCTTTTGTCCTTTGCTGTCTGAAAAGTTCTTTGTTCTGCAATTCTGTCTCCTCCCTTTCACTGTTACAACTATTTTCACAGCTGCAAAGTGGAGAGCAGATTCAGCCATTGAAGCTAGTATGATTTGATCTTCTCTTTCCCCTCTCTTTTTTTTGTCTTTTGTGATCCCTTGGGACTTTTTTATATCTTCTTTTTGTACTTTGGAGGCTATATGATCTATAGATCGCCAGCAATATCTCCTTTAATAAAATATAATCTTTAACCTGAGCTACATCCCCGATCTCTCTTTCACGTAAGCTACTGTTACACAAGACATAACAAAAATTGGTTGCATCCATACAAAAGCTTCATCAATCCGTCCTACATCTTGTTCAAAACGTTACATCCATTGTCAAAAACATTGCATCCATTACCACTGTTGCCTTATCTATCAGCAGAAAAAATTTCAGCCGATTCCGACAACTCTTCATTTTTGCGATCTCAAATGTCAACATTGCTGCCATCCTCTGTCATGCAGGGAATGTCACCCGATCTCGCCTCATTTCTGGGGAACATGCAGGCCCAATTCATGTCACTACAACAACGTACCAATGAACTTGAATCTCTTGCCGCAACTAATGCTAGATTAACTGCTCAATTAGTTAATGTGGAAAAGCTAATTGCTGATCTCAGATCTCAATTAGCATCTCAGGGCAATTGCCAAATTACAACAAATGCATCAACATCATCTGCACCAACCACACCCAAGGAGCCTGGCACTGAGGCTTCTACATGGGCTACAACTGCTGCTGCTGCTCACAACTCTGTTGTTGTTCCTACTGCTCTTTCTGTTTGCAAGACTCCAAGACCTCCTTCTGTTCGCCAGGTTGCTGCTTCTGCTAGAATGTTTGCCATTCCCACTGGTCCCAAAGGATATCAATATGTGTATATCCCACGTTCACGTCGTCTCACACATAGAGAAGTGCGCAACTCTTTGAAAACACTTGGTGTTGATACTGGCCGCATCTTGGATATCAATTTTCCTGCCAAGGATGTAGTTGGCATCCTAGTTCACAACCAGTATGCTGAGAAATTCCAGACCACTCTGACCACAGTTGCCATTGAGATCTTAGATGCGTTTGACCCTTTGGATCCCAAAAACATTGCAGATCCCAAATATAAGTCTCTTTCTGATTCAGAGCTAGAAGAAGTTGCTGCTGAACTTCATTCTGATCGTTGTATGAAGGCTCTCAAGTACCTTCGTCCTCATGTTGCTGTTCCTGTTGGTCATTTCTTTTGTGATCAAGGCTGGATCTCTAAGGAAGATATTCCTGTCCATTCTGTTTCTGGTCCTGGTGCTGGTATTCATGATTTCCAATCACCATCTCGTCGTACCTCTGTTGCAATGTCTGAATGAGTGAAATCTCATTAGGACTTTGGAATGCTAATGGTCTGCAGCCTCGTGCAATTTATGATGTTCTTCAACACTGTCACTCTCTACATATGCTTTTTATCACTGAAACATGGCTTCTTCCCCCATCTCGTCTCCCCACTTCTTGGTCCCAGATTCATCTTTATGGTTCACCTGTAGCTGGCAACTACAGAGGTTCTATGGGTGTTTCTGTTCTTATTTCTCTATCTTGTCCTTATCCTGTCACTCAGATTCCTATGTCATCTAATTATGCTTTAGCCATCAAGATTGGTTCCCTCAGAATTGTATGCCTGTACTTACCACCCTCTATGTCCACCCATGATGCTCTTGCAGTTCTCTCATCCATTCCTTTGACCAATGACACTATTATCTGCGGCGATTTTAATTCACGTTTGGGTTCACTTACTGGTGACTATGCTACTAACACTCGAGGTCTTGCTCTTTGTCAATGGTTAGAAGAACGTGCTCTTACTGTTGTCAATGGCCAGCTCTCACCATGCATACCTACATTCATTTCATTCCGCCAAAATGTGGAGATAAGCAGTATCATTGATCTGTTTATCACTAATATGTCCCTCACCAATGCCACTCTCAACATTCATACCGACCTCTCACTCAACTCTGACCACCGTCTGCTTTCACTTTCATTTACATATGCCATCAATCCAACATCACATGCACCACCACCATCTCGCAAAACATGGAACCTCTCACGTCTTCAAGAACCTGATGTTCTCAAACTATATGCCCACACATTTGTCACTAATTCCACCAACCTCAAATCCACTTTGCAATCGACCTTTGAACACCCTCCTTCCTCACGTCCACCAATTGATGCACTAACTGATGAATTCAACTCACTCATTTATAATTCTTTAAGTAGCTCAATTGGCAACCGTCCTCCCCGTCCTTCCCACTGGAAAAAATTCTGGAATCCAGTACTTCAAGCAGCTGCAGAGCACCGCAATTTCTGCTACAAGAAATGGCGCCGTGCATGTGGTATAGACAGAATTCATTGGTGGGATAAGCATCTCAAAGCGCAGGCAGAATTCCGACATCAAGTGCAATCATCTAAGCGCCAATCATGGCATGCTTTCTGCAAATCAATGGAACAAGACTTTTCCAAAGCAACATCAAAGATCAAGCTACTCAAACGCCGACGGCAGTCTCAGCACATGTTTCAACATAGTGATGGACCAGCAACAGCAGCAACAATTATGTGTGAGCATCTTGCATCTGTATACAGTGGCAGTATCCTCCCAGATCAGCGTCCTCCTCCTCCTCTTCACAGTACTAGTCTGCCTTTTGCCTCTGCCAACTCGCCATTTGTTTCTTCAGTGGTAGAGGGATGCATGCAATTTATGCCTAACCGCAAGGCACCAGGCCCAGATCACATCAGAGCAGAAATGTTGAAAGTAATTCGACCACAAATTGCTCCACTACTCTCACTCTTGTTCACCATCTGTTGGCAATGGTCATATGTACCTGTTATTTGGCGTCAGGCTCAAGTTTTTCCCATTTACAAAAAGGGAGATCCATCAATTGCTGCTAACTATCGACCTATTTCACTAACTTCTGTTGTGCGGAAACTGATGGAAATGTGTATTTCTCCAGTGCTTCACAAGTTTTCCCCTCCTCTGGATGTTGCTCAGGGTGGTTTCCGTCCTAGACGTGGTGCCATGGACCAAGCTCTCTGTCTGCATGACCTCATGAAAGCACACTTCCACCGCCATCACCATTATCCTGTTGTTGCATTCTTAGACATAAAGGCAGCTTATGATACAGTAGACCGACGAGTCATTTGGGATGCTCTTGCTAGACGTCACACACCACCAGCTTTACTTGGACTTCTTGTCAATATGTTTGATAATGTCTCTATATCTGTTCTTCTTGGCAACTTCTCTTCTCATTCTTTTTCTCCCACCACAGGCGTCCTTCAAGGTTCCGTTCTCAGTCCACATTTGTATTCAATCTATATCAACTCCCTGCCACCAATACTCCGCACAGTTGCATCACCACTCACCTCAACACATATCCCATCAACCTCTCCTTCCTCATTGGATGCTTACAATTCTCTTCTTGCCCCATCAGATGTGAATGACTTTCAACACATTCACTTGCCTACTGCCATTAACAGTCTTCTTTTTGCTGATGATGTTGCTATCTTTGGCTCTGTCACTGATGTTCAGAGTATGCTTGACCTTGCTGCCCAACACTCCTTCCAGCTTGGCTACCGTTGGAGTCCTTCAAAATGTGCTGTACTCTATCCTCCTTCACGATCTTTACCACGTTCTACTATCTCTCTGTATGGCGAGTTGCTTCCTGCAGTAAATGAGTTTATATACTTGGGTATACCTTTCTGTAACAAAGGCATCTTTGGACCGTCTGTTGTCACTCATCGTCGTTCTGGAGCATTGGCTGCTATGGCAACTCTTACTGCTGTTGGTGCATGTAGATCTGGTTTCAGTTTGCTCTTAAGTTCACGTCTGTTCAAAACCTTTATACGACCAAAATTCGAGTATGGTCTTGCAATCACATGTCTTTTGCAAAAAGATGTTTTACTTCTAGAGAAAATTCAAGATAAATGCTTGCGAATGATTGTTGGTGGCCATGCAACTTCATCTACTGCAGTCTTGAAACATATCTGCAACCTGCCCAGTATGGCTTTTCGCGTTGACATTCTCAAAACAAAATTTTGTCTTCGGGCACACACTCTTCCTTCTGGTTGTCTTCTCTCTCTGCTCCATTCTCATCATCTCCAAGCATCAACACTATCCACTCTTCACACAAACCCTCTTTTTGCCAGCATTCCCCCTGATCTTAATTGCTCCAGCCGCATAAAACTATCCAAGCACTTTGAGTCTTTTAGACAAGAAAAGTTTGCTCACTTTCGTCTCACCAACACTAAGATTCTCATCCAAGCTTGCCGCCCTCTTCTTGAAGTTGATCCTGTATTGTTTCTTCCTGCTACACGCATAGAACGTGGCCGTCTAGTACGTTGGAGAATGGGCTGGTTGCCTGGTAAGCCAAAGGAGTGTGCATGTGGCTTTGATCATACTTCAAGACGCCATCTCCAATTCTGCATCACAATCCCATCTCAGCTGTTCTCTCAACTTCCAGCACCACCCACAGATGAAGACAACATCATTGACTTTGCTATATCAGCACTACCAATCTCGTCTACACATCCAAGCCCTCTATATTGGAAAGCTCTTCTTACAATACTATGGCATATTGACATGCTATGCAATCCTAATGGCAACTACACACATGAAACCGATCATGGTTCTCTCTGGCACTAGCTCTAATAATTTAATATCTGTTTTCTTTTACTTCTTTTCTTCTTATTTTTGTCTTCTCATTCATGAAAGGTTTCTAGATCTGCAATTCTGTCTCCTCCCTTTCACTGTTACAACTTTTTACACAGCTGCAAAGTGGAGAGCAGGTTCAGTCTTTTAGCTTAGTATTGTTTATTTCTCTTCTTCTATTCATTTTTTTGTCTTTTGTGATCCTTTTGGACTTTTTTTTTTCTTTTTCTTTTGTACTTGGGAGGCTATATGATCTATAGATCGCCAGCGATATCTCCTTAATAAAAATAATCTTTAACCTGAGCTACATCCCCCACTGCTCTTTCGCTTAAGCATTTTATTTACCTGGTTTCAAGATTTTATTTTTGACGAATCCACATATAAAGTGTATCCATCCATCAACATCTTTACGCAAAACGATACATCCATCACGAAAAACGTACCTCCCATTGCCAAAAGTAGTGCAGTCCTTGTCCTTGGTATCCCAGCTGTCAGCAAAAAAAATTTCAGCTCAATTAGACAACATCACGCCATCTGCATTCTCAATCCCAATGGCCAATTTGCAAATCGGCAACATGCAGGGATTACCAACCGAGCTTACCTCATTCCTGACGACATTGCAGGCACAAATCATGAATGTGCAAAACAGAACTGACCAGTTGGAGCAACTTGCAGCAGAGAATGCAAGACTAACCACTGAATTAGACCATGCTAGAACAACAATTGCTAATCTGCAGAAGCAATTAGGATCTCAGAGTACACCTGAAAAAAACTTTTCAGAAATTTCACTTTCGAACTCAGCCGGCGCGGTAGATCCTCATATCAACAACAAAGAATCAGGTCTGGAAGCCTCCACTTGGGCTAGTAAAGCCAGTGTTTCTCTTCCTGCAATTGCACCAAAAGTGCCTACTGTTCCCTCTGCTCGCCGAATTGCAGCTTCTGTCCGTATGTTTGCTCTTCCCTCTGGTCCTTCGGGTTATGAATATGTTTATATTCCAAGATCAAGACGCCTTAAGCACAAAGAAGTCCGTTCCTCTCTCCGCACTCTTGGTGTGGATTCTTCTCGACTTTTGGACATTAACTTCCCAGCAAGAGGTGTCATTGGCATCCTTGTTCATGTCCAGTATGCTGATACATTTAAGGCCAAACTGACAACTGCTTCCGTTGAGATTTTGGACGCATTTGATCCACTTGACCCTGATAATGTTGCTGATCCCAAGTATGCATCTCTGTCCACTCATGAACTTGCCAACACTGCTGCCATGCTTCACCACGATAGATGTCTCCAAGCCCTTCAGTTCTTGCGCCCACACGTTGCTATCCCAGTTGGTCACTTCTTTTGTGAGGAAGGGTGGATCAGTGAAGATAAAATACCAACACGTACTACTCTTACCAATGCCACTGGCGGGTCTTTGTTCAAACGTCAGCGCAGCTCATCAGTCACTATGTCTGAATGAGTAATCTCAATATCGGATTATGGAATGCCAATGGCCTGCAACCCAGAGCCATTCATGATACCCTTCAACACTGTCAGTCCTTACATATGCTCTTCATTACAGAAACATGGCTTCTCTCTCCCTCACGTCTTCCCACATCATGGTCACAAATCCACTTGTATGGTTCTCCTGTAGCTGGCACCTATAGGGGCTCTATGGGTGTTTCTGTTCTCATATCACCTCACTGTCCTTATGCTGTCACTCAAATACCTATGCCCTCCAAATATGCTATGGCTGTCAAAATTGGCTCACTCAGAATTGTATGCTTATATCTTCCACCAAATATGCCCACTCATGATGTCCTACATGTACTCTCTTCCATTCCTTTAACACATGATACCATTCTTTGTGGAGACTTCAATGCAAGACTTGGCTCTGTTACTGGTGACTATGCATCAAATTCTCGTGGACTGGCACTATGTTCTTGGATAGAAGAGAGATCTCTATCAGTTGTAAATACAGATCTTGCACCGTGCATACCAACATATATTTCTTTCCAAAACAACTATGAAATCAGCAGTATTATTGACCTCTTTATAACTAATATGACACTCATACACCCTTCTCTTCATATTGCTACTGACTTGTCCCTTGGATCAGATCATCGCCTTTTATCACTTTCCTTTACCTATGACCTACAGCACTCTACCAATATGCCACCACCATTATGCAAGACATGGAACCTCTCACGCCTCAATGAACCTGATGTCCATGCTCTTTATGCTCATACCTTCAATCAAAACTCGACCTCCCTACTTTCTACCTTGCAAGACATTGTACAGAATCCACCACTCACTAGACCCAACATTGATGCTATCACTGATGAGTTCAATTCACTCATTTATGACTCATTAAATAGCTCAATTGGACATCGACCGTCTCGCCCAAATCATTGGAAATCCTTCTGGAATGTAGCTTTGCAAACAGCAGCAGATCGTCGTAACCAATGTTACAAAAAATGGCGCCTAGCAATAGGTATTGACAAAGTTGTTTGGTGGACTAAACACAAGCATGCACAGGCCGAATTCCGATCTCAGGTTCAGCAAGCAAAACGTCAGTCTTGGCATGTCTTTTGTCAGTCTATGGAACGTGACTTCAGCAAAGCAACATCAAAGATAAAGCAGTTAAAACGCCGTAGACAGCCACAACATACTTTCCAGCATGATAATGGACCAGCTGTAGCAGCAGCAACAATGTGTGACTATTTGGCAACAGTATATAGTGGACATATACTTCCAGCAACCCGACCACCAGTACCAACAACGACTTATAACAGTGTGCCTTTTGCCTCTGATGACTCTCCCTTTACCTCACCAATTGTAGAGGAATTCATGCAATTTATGCCTAACCGCAAGGCACCAGGACCAGACCATATCAGAGCTGAAATGCTAAAATCTGTAAAAACACATGTCTCACCCATTCTTGCTTTGTTATTTACAGTTTGCTGGCAATGGTCGTATGTTCCAAGTCTTTGGCGCCAAGCACAAGTTTTCCCCATCTTCAAGAAGGGTAGTCCAACAGATCCAGCTAACTACCGGCCAATCTCCTTGACTTCTGTACTGCGTAAGCTTTTTGAGATGTGTATAGCCCCCCAGTTGCACAAGTACTCTCCTCCTTTGGATGTGGCTCAAGGTGGTTTTCGTCCTCGCCGTGGTGCTTTGGATCAAGCTCTCTGTCTCCATGATCTGATGAAAGCCTATTATCACCGTCATAAGCACTACCCTGTTGTTGCATTTCTGGATATCAAGGCTGCCTATGATACAGTAGATCGACGAATCATCTGGCATGCTTTACAACAACGTGGCACTCCACCAGCCCTTTTGGGCCTCTTAGTTAACATGTTTGACAATGTCTCCATCTCTGTCCTTCTGGATAACCTTTCTTCACACTCATTCTCACCTGCCACTGGGGTTCTCCAAGGTTCTGTCCTCAGTCCACATCTGTATTCAATATATATCAACTCCCTGCCCCCATTGCTCCGCACAGTTGCTCACTCACAAACTACAACCCATGTTCCATCACCCTCTCCTACCTCATTGGATGCGTATAATGCTCTTCTTGCTCCTTCAGGTGTGGATGGCTTTGGACATATTCATTTCTTAACACCCATCAATTCCCTGCTCTTTGCCGACGATGTAGCTATTTTTGGTTCTCTTTCAGATGTTCAGGCCATGCTAGACCTTGCTGCAGACCACTCTCTTACTCTTGGATATCGATGGAGCCCCACCAAATGTGAAGTTATATATCCCAAAACACGTGCAAGCTCGCCAGTTCCACTTCTTTTATATGGTCAAGTTCTCCCTGCCACTGACCTGTTTATTTATCTGGGTGTTCCTTTTGCCAATAAGGGTATTTCTTCCAAGTCCATTGCCACTCATAGACGTTCTGGTACACTTGCTACAATGGCAACCCTAAACTCTGTTGGTGCTTGTCGTTCTGGTTTTTCTCTGCTGCTCAGTTCACGACTGTATAAAACTTTTGTTCGCCCAAAGTTTGAATATGGTTTGGCTATTTCCACTCTGCTGAAGCAAGATATTAAAGTTCTGGAGTCCATTCAAGATAAGTGTCTTCGCATGATTGTTGGGGGGCATGCCACGTCCTCTACAATTGTGTTGAAGCACATCTGCAATCTGCCAAGTATGAAGTTTCGTGCAGATGTTCTTATAGCCAAATTTTGTATCAGATCACGCTTTCTGCCTGCCCAGTGCCTTTTGTCTCTTTTACACCATCATCATACCATCTATTCTTCACTTGCCTCCCTGGGAAAAACCAACCTTCTGTCACATCTCCCTCCAACACTCAAACTCCAAAGCCCTAGTGCAGTAAAAAACCATTTTGAAAGCATTAGAGAAGCTGGATTTACAACCTTTCTCCAGTCCAATACACAAGTTCTCATTCAAGCATGCCGCCCAGTTCTTGGAGTTGATCCAATTTTGTTTCTGCCAGCCTCACGTGTGGAACGTGGCCGTTTGATTCGTTGGAGAATGGGATGGTTGCCAGGCAAACCAAAGGAATGTCCTTGTGGATCTGATCACACCTCACGCCGCCATTTGTTGGATTGCCCACTTGTTCCTGTGGCACTATTTGAACAGTTGCCTCAATCTGACTATGACCAGATACACAGAATTGATTTTGCCATCACATCCTTGCCTTTGTCATCTCAAGAACCGCGACCTGCTTACTGGATACCACTGCTGACTATTCTCTGGCACATAGATGTTATATGTAATCCTGATGGTGACTATTCACATGAGACTGAACATGGTGCTCTTTGGATATAATTTAGACCTTTTCTTTTCTTTCATAGCTCTTCACTTTTCATTGTTCTTTACTCCCTTTATCTCTCTTCTTTCTCTTTTGTCCTTTGCTGTCTGAAAAGTTCTTTGTTCTGCAATTCTGTCTCCTCCCTTTCACTGTTACAACTATTTTCACAGCTGCAAAGTGGAGAGCAGGTTCAGCCATTGAAGCTAGTATGATTTGATCTTCTCTTTCCCCTCTCTTTTTTTTGTCTTTTGTGATCCCTTGGGACTTTTTTATATCTTCTTTTTGTACTTTGGAGGCTATATGATCTATAGATCGCCAGCAATATCTCCTTTAATAAAATATAATCTTTAACCTGAGCTACATCCCCTTGTTCTTTACTCCCTTTATCTCTCTTCTTTCTCTTTTGTTCTTTGCTGTCTGAAAAGTTCTTTGTTCTGCAATTCTGTCTCCTCCCTTTCACTGTTACAACTATTTTCACAGCTGCAAAGTGGAGAGCAGATTCAGCCATTGAAGCTAGTATGATTTGATCTTCTCTTTCCTCTCTCTTTTTTTGTCTTTTGTGATCCCTTAGGACTTTTTTATATCTTCTTTTTGTACTTTGGAGGCTATATGATCTATAGATCGCCAGCAATATCTCCTTTAATAAAATATAATCTTTAACCTGAGCTACATCCCCACTGCTCTTTCGCTTAAGCATTTTATTTGCCTGGTTCCAAAATTTTATTTTTGACGAATCCACATATAAAGTGTATCCATCCATCAATATCTTTACGCAAAACGATCCATCCATCACGAAAAACGTACCTCCCATTGCCAAAAGTAGTGCAGTCCTTGTCCTTGGTATCCCAGCTGTCAGCAAAAAAAATTTCAGCTCAATCAGACAACATCACGCCATCTGCATTCTCAATCCCAATGGCCAATTTGCAAATCGGCAACATGCAGGGATTGCCAACCGAGCTTACCTCATTCCTGACAACATTGCAGGCACAAATCATGAATGTGCAAAACAGAACCGACCAGTTGGAGCGACTTGCAGCAGAGAATGCAAGACTAACTACTGAATTAGACCATGCTAGAACAACAATTGCTAATCTGCAGAAGCAATTAGGATCTCAGAATGCACCTGAAAAAAACTTTTCAGAAATTTCACTTTCGAACCCAGCCGGCGCAGTAGGTGCTCCTGACAAAAACAAAGAACCAGGTCTGGAAGCCTCCACTTGGGCTAGTAAAGCCAGTGTTTCTCTTCCTGTAACTGCCCCAAAAATGTCTACTGTTCCCTCTGCTCGCCGTATTGCAGCTTCTGTTCGTATGTTTGCTCTTCCCTCTGGTCCTTCAGGTTATGAATATGTTTATATTCCAAGATCAAGACGCCTTAAGCACAAAGAAGTCTGTTCCTCTCTCCGCACTCTTGGTGTGGATTCTTCTCGACTTTTGGACATTAACTTCCCAGCCAGAGGTGTCATTGGCATCCTTGTTCATGTCCAGTATGCTGATACATTTAAGGCCAAATTGACAACTGCTTCTGTTGAGATTTTGGACGCATTTGATCCACTTGACCCTGATAATGTTGCTGATCCCAAGTATGCATCTCTGTCCACTCATGAACTTGCCAACACTGCTGCCATGCTTCACCATGATAGATGTCTTCAAGCCCTACAGTTCTTGCGCCCACACGTTGCTATCCCAGTTGGTCACTTCTTTTGTGAGGAAGGGTGGATCAGTGAAGATGAAATACCAACACGTACTACTCTTACCAATGCTGCTGGTGGGTCTTTGTTCAAACGTCAGCGCAGCTCATCAGTCACTATGTCTGAATGAGTAATCTCAATATCGGATTATGGAATGTCAATGGCCTGCAACCCAGAGCCATTCAAGATACCCTTCAACACTGTCAGTCCTTACATATGCTCTTCATTACAGAAACATGGCTCCTCTCCCCCTCACGTCTTCCCACATCATGGTCACAAATTCACTTATATGGTTCTCCTGTAGCTGGCACCTATAGGGGCTCTATGGGTGTTTCTGTTCTCATCTCACCTCACTGTCCTTATGCTGTCACTCAAATACCTATGCCCTCCAAATATGCTATGGCTGTCAAAATTGGCTCACTCAGAATTGTATGCTTATATCTTCCACCAAATATGCACACTCATGATGTCCTACATGTACTCTCTTCCATTCCTTTAACATATGATACCATTCTTTGTGGTGACTTCAATGCAAGACTTGGCTCTGTTACTGGTGACTATGCATCAAATTCTCGTGGACTGGCACTATGTTCTTGGATAGAAGAGAGATCTCTATCAGTTGTAAATACAGATCTTGCACCGTGCATACCAACATATATTTCTTTCCAAAACAACTATGAAATCAGCAGTATTATTGACCTCTTTATAACTAATATGACACTCATACATCCTTCTCTTCATATTGCTACTGACTTGTCCCTTGGATCAGATCATCGCCTTTTATCACTTTCCTTTACCTATGACCTACAGTACTCTACCAATATGCCACCACCATTATGCAAGACATGGAACCTCTCACGCCTCAATGAACCTGATGTCCATGCTCTTTATGCTCATACCTTCAATCAAAACTCGACCTCCCTACTTTCTACCTTGCAAGACATTGTACAGAATCCACCACTCACTAGACCCAACATTGATGCTATCACTGATGAGTTCAATTCACTCATTTATGACTCATTAAATAGCTCAATTGGACATCGACCGTCTCGCCCAAATCATTGGAAATCCTTCTGGAATGTAGCTTTGCAAACAGCAGCAGATCGTCGTAACCAATGTTACAAAAAATGGCGCCTAGCAATAGGTATTGACAAAGTTGTTTGGTGGACTAAACACAAGCATGCACAGGCCGAATTCCGATCTCAGGTTCAGCAAGCAAAACGTCAGTCTTGGCATGTCTTTTGTCAGTCTATGGAACGTGACTTCAGCAAAGCAACATCAAAGATAAAGCAGTTAAAACGCCGTAGACAGCCACAACATACTTTCCAGCATGATAATGGACCAGCTGTAGCAGCAGCAACAATGTGTGACTATTTGGCAACAGTATATAGTGGACATATACTTCCAGCAACCCGACCACCAGTACCAACAACGACTTATAACAGTGTGCCTTTTGCCTCTGATGACTCTCCCTTTACCTCACCAATTGTAGAGGAATTCATGCAATTTATGCCTAACCGCAAGGCACCAGGACCAGACCATATCAGAGCTGAAATGCTAAAATCTGTAAAAACACATGTCTCACCCATTCTTGCTTTGTTATTTACAGTTTGCTGGCAATGGTCGTATGTTCCAAGTCTTTGGCGCCAAGCACAAGTTTTCCCCATCTTCAAGAAGGGTAGTCCAACAGATCCAGCTAACTACCGGCCAATCTCCTTGACTTCTGTACTGCGTAAGCTTTTTGAGATGTGTATAGCCCCCCAGTTGCACAAGTACTCTTCTCCTTTGGATGTGGCTCAAGGTGGTTTTCGTCCTCGCCATGGTGCTTTGAATCAAGCTCTCTGTCTCCATGATCTGATGAAAGCCTATTATCACCGTCATAAGCACTACCCTGTTGTTGCATTTCTGGATATCAAGGCTGCCTATGATACAGTAGATCGACGAATCATCTGGCATGCTTTACAACAACGTGGCACTCCACCAGCCCTTTTGGGCCTCTTAGTTAACATGTTTGACAATGTCTCCATCTCTGTCCTTCTGGATAACTTTTCTTCACACTCATTCTCACCTGCCACTGGGGTTCTCCAAGGTTCTGTCCTCAGTCCACATCTGTATTCAATATATATCAACTCCCTGCCCCCATTGCTCCACACAGTTGCTCACTCACAAACTACAACCCATGTTCCATCACCCTCTCCTACCTCATTGGATGCGTATAATGCTCTTCTTGCTCCTTCAGGTGTGGATGGCTTTGGACATATTCATTTCTTAACACCCATCAATTCCCTGCTCTTTGCCGACGATGTAGCTATTTTTGGTTCTCTTTCAGACGTTCAGGCCATGCTAGACCTTGCTGCAGACCACTCTCTTACTCTTGGATATCGATGGAGCCCCACCAAATGTGAAGTTATATATCCCAAAATACGTGCAAGCTCGCCAGTTCCACTTCTTTTATATGGTCAAGTTCTCCCTGCCACTGACCTGTTTATTTATCTGGGTGTTCCTTTTGCCAATAAGGGTATTTCTTCCAAGTCTATTGCCACTCATAGACGTTCTGGTACACTTGCTACAATGGCAACACTAAACTCTGTTGGAGCTTGTCGTTCTGGTTTTTCTCTGCTGCTCAGTTCACGACTGTATAAAACTTTTGTTCGCCCAAAGTTTGAATATGGTTTGGCTATTTCCACTCTGCTGAAGCAAGATATTAAAGTTCTGGAGTCCATTCAAGATAAGTGTCTTCGCATGATTGTTGGGGGGCATGCCACGTCCTCTACAATTGTGTTGAAGCACATCTGCAATCTGCCAAGTATGAAGTTTCGTGCAGATGTTCTTATAGCCAAATTTTGTATCAGATCACGCTTTCTGCCTGCCCAGTGCCTTTTGTCTCTTTTACACCATCATCATACCATCTATTCTTCACTTGCCTCCCTGGGAAAAACCAACCTTCTGTCACATCTCCCTCCAACACTCAAACTCCAAAGCCCTAGTGCAGTAAAAAACCATTTTGAAAGCATTAGAGAAGCTGGATTTACAACCTTTCTCCAGTCCAATACACAAGTTCTCATTCAAGCATGCCGCCCAGTTCTTGGAGTTGATCCAATTTTGTTTCTGCCAGCCTCACGTGTGGAACGTGGCCGTTTGATTCGTTGGAGAATGGGATGGTTGCCAGGCAAACCAAAGGAATGTCCTTGTGGATCTGATCACACCTCACGCCGCCATTTGTTGAATTGCCCACTTGTTCCTGCAACACTATTTGAACAGTTGCCTCAACCTGACCATGACCAGATACACAGAATTGATTTTGCCATCACATCCTTGCCTTTGTCATCTCAAGAACCACGACCTGCATACTGGATACCACTGATGACTATTCTCTGGCACATGGATGTTATATGTAATCCTGATGGTGACTATTCACATGAGACTGAACATGGTGCTCTTTGGATATAATTTAGAATTTTTCTTTTCTTTCATAGCTCTCCACTTTTCATTGTTCTTTACTCTCTTTATCTCTCTTCTTTCTCTTTTGTCCTTTGCTGTCTGAAAAGTTCTTTGTTCTGCAATTCTGTCTCCTCCCTTTCACTGTTACAACTTTTCACACAGCTGCAAAGTAGAGAGCAGGTTCAGTCTTTTAGCTTAGTATTGTTTATTTCTCTTCTTCTATTCATTTTTTTGTCTTTTGTGATCCTTTTGGACTTTTTTTTTTACCTTTTTCTTTGTTTACTTGGGAGGCTATATGATCTATAGATTGCCAGCACTATCTCCTTTAATAAAAATAATCTTTAACCTGAGCTACATCCCCCACCTGGAGTTCCTTCTGCCTGCCAGGTTGCTGCCTCTCAAAGAATGTTCTCTGACAAAACTGGTCCTGATGGTTTTGAATATGTTTATATTTCTTGGTCACGTTGTATTATGCACAGTGAAGTGTGCTGCTCTCTCCGCACTCTTGGTGTTGACACTGGTCGCCTGTTAGATATTAACTTTCCTGCTCGTGGGGTGATTGGCGTTCTTGTCTATGTCCAGTATCTTGAGGAATTTAAGTCCCAAATAGCTTGTGCTAAGGTCTCTCTTATTGACAGCTTTGATCCACTTGACCCCAAGAATGTTGCTGATCCCAAGTTTGCCAATCTGTCTCTTTCTGGTCTGGAAACCCAGACCTTAGTTCTTCAAAATGCTTGCTGCAGTCAGGCCCTTAAGTTTCTGTGTCCTCACCTTGTTCTCCCAGTTGCACACTTCTTTATCCAATCAGGATGGATTGATATTAAGGAAATTTCTGCCCATCCTATAGCTGAAAACTTTGGTGATACTCCAAACAAAAAACGTGCTCTTGATGCTCTCACTGCTATAATAGAATGAATGACCTTTCCATAGGATTATGGAATGCCAATGGACTTCTACCTCGTGCAATCAAAGACGTGCTCAACCACTGTCAATCTCTTCATATGCTGTTTATCACTGAAACATGGCTTCTATCCCCAGCCTGTCTTCCAACCTCATGGTCTCAATATCATCTCTATAGATCTCCTGTTGTGGGCAACTACCACGGATCAATGGGGGTGTTATTGTTAGTCTCTCCTTCATGTTCTTATGCTGTCACACAAATACCTATGCCCAACAACTATGCTCTTACTGTCAAGATTGGCACCCTTCGACTTATATGCCTTTACTTACCACCCTCTATGCCCACTCATGAAGCTCTTGATATCCTCTCACACTGCAAAAGGAGAGTGGATTCAGTCGAATTTTATTTTTTGAATTTTGGCAAAATTTGGAAAAATATTTCAAACACTATCGTTTTTCAATATATATTTTTCTTGAGATGTGAATTCGCAATTTTTTCTGATTATATTAAATAAACACAGATACAAACACAAATATTTATTAATTAGGCAATAAATTGCACAATTGTCTTAAAAAATATATGTTTTGATAGACTTGGCAGAAAAATAAAAAATAAAAATAAAATATTAAATGTTAAATGTAGTATTTAAGTATTTTTCTTGAAGGAAAAACTTGTTATTACAGATGCACCTTATTTAGATTCAATGATATTTTTATTACATCGCAAAAAATACAGATTTTTATTAGAATATAATAATGTATGATATATGACTTATTTTTAACACTATGGCTAAAAAAGTGGCAACATGTTACCACTTTGGTAGCATAACTGCCATTTCTTACATAATAAAAAATGGCAGATATGAGTCTGTATAGTGCGATTAGAGGCACAGTTGCCACTTTTTTTTTGAAAGACTGAGGTTCATTCCTTTTTTTTTAGTTTTTTTTTGGTTTTTTTTATTTTTGGTTTTCTTTTACGCCCCCCCCCCTTTTTTTTTTGCTCTACTGTATCCAATACTAGTATATCATTTCGCTTTTTATTTGCCATATTAAATGAACCATTTATTGAATTGAATTAAAATGAATTGTAATGAATTGAATTGAATAAGATTTTGCTTCAATTTATGTTTTATTATATGATATTAATACTACTTAAAACCCATCTATTGGAACTTGCAAAAAAGACATGATATCATTTGGCTACTGTAGGGTATGCAGTAAAAACCCTTTATTCCAAAATCATTTCATGTGTTTCGAGTACTTCAATATAGACTAGATGACCTTTAATTCTTACTGGTTTCTATAAATATATCAATGTTAGAGAGAAAATAAATAAATAAACATAATGATATAGTGCTTACCTTTATGTAATACGTTTAATAGCTTCAAAGAATTTTTTTTACTCTAAAAATATATATATTAGAAAATATTATTAATATGTAAGCTTCATATGTCATTAAAAAATGTTAGTATATCTACAAGACAAGTGAAAAAAGCAGTGAGTATCACAAACTTATTACCAAATAAAACCTGAAAAAAAAGATTCGAGTCATACAATATAAAGTCTAGTTGAATTTAGTTGAAAACTGAATGAACATTGTTTTGTTAACACGAGATGTATATTATATCAAGGTACTTACATAGAATATAACACTTATCAAATACACTTCCAAAACTGAAATCACCAACAGAATCTTTGATTTCTACCCCCGAATAAACCATACATCAACTTCATTATGCTATATCTTCTCAAGAAGTTGACAAAATAAAACCAAACATTGTGTTGTTATAGAGAAATGTATATATATTATAGAATAAAAATAAAAAAAAATGAGGTTTAATATATGGTATGATGACCATGAGCTTTTATGACTGCTTTAACTCTGTCAGACATACTTACCACAAGAGTTTGCAGAACTCCAGGGTCAAGCAACTCCCATTCCTGAAGAATACAGGCCTTCAGCTCTTGCACATTGTTAATAGAGGGCTTTCTCTCTTGAACCTTGGCCTTTAGGGCATGACAGACATGCTCAATTGAGTTCAAATCTAGACTTTGCAACGGTCAGTAGTCAAATCATTTAATCTCCCAACGGTTTTTCCATCACGTTGTGTAGGACCCAGTATGATAGCTAGCACCATCTTCTTGGAATGTGAATATGATGTCATGTTCTTCATTCAATTTTTTGTACCAGGGATTGAAGTCCTTAGACAGACAATTGACGTATGAATCTTGGTCTACAGATCCTTTGATAAACGATAATGGCCCAATGCCACCAGCCCAGAAACAGCCCCATACCATCATGGAACCTTTTCCATACTTTTCTGCTGTTAGTGTATGGCGTTCCTGGTGCCTCTCCCCTCGTTTACAAATTACGGATGGGTCAGAATCATTGCCTTTCACCATGAACCTCGACTCATCTGACCACACCACTCTGCTCCAGTCTTCGATGCTAAAACTGGCCCTAGCTCTAGCCCAACGCAACCAATTCTTTTTCTGCTCATGGGTTAACTTTGGTTGAGATACAGGGGTGTAAGAACCAAAGCCTTTTGCTCGTAGGTATTGGATAACTGTCTGTCTACAGACAATAACGTCAGCAGCTCCCAAATTTGCCTGGTAGTATCCATAACTCTCAAAAGGATTACGTCTCACACTCAAACAAAGACTTGTAACGTCTGTTACACTAAGTTTCTTTGGTCTCCCAGGTCTGGTCTTTGTCTTGGCTGTTCCAGTAGTCTCCCAGCGCTTTATTGTATCAAAAACTGTAGTTCTAGGAATGTTTATACGGTTTGCGATGTCAGTTAGAGTATGATCAGCTTTTGAGAGTCGAACAATGCCTCTATGCTCAAAATCTGACAGTTCGCATCTGGAGGGAGTAGTTTTAATTCTTTTATTACTTTTCGACATTAGTGAGTAATTTTGAGATAAAAGTGTGAGGAAGAGAAAGGTAAAGAATGTTATAAAAAAAGCAGCATGAAAAATGTGGTTCATTGATGATTTTTATTGTCGGAGTGTATAACATAGTAGCACAAGAGTATTATTAGTTTTTTTTTGTTCTTTGAAAAAAAAAATCTATTGTGCTTTATTCAAAAATTAATTGTAGCAATGCTGCAGATGTTGTATATTAGTTTTCAATGCTGATGACTATACAGATACCAATCACATAAAAAAGGGCAACACATCTTTATTTAAAGAGAAAGAATAAAAAAACAAGAGAAAGAAAGAGAAAAAAAGAAAATAAAAGACAAATATAAAAACCAAACTAAAAATATGCTAAAAAATATTTTGAACCAATCAAAACCTCCTACAATCTTCGGCTTCTCTTATGTGCTGGCTCAACACTCATTTCTGCCAGAGGAGACCTTTATAAAAAAGTAAAAAGTTTATATTAGTTTCGTATTGACAGCACCAAACCAGCAGAAACCATGGTAACTTACAGCACATCCACCATAATAGGCGACTCGCCACCATCCATTTCTGATATATTATCAGAAGACAATGAAGAATCATTTGCATCTTGCTGTGCCTTATAATTTTTTAAACGTTTATTAAAACATACAAATGAAATCTTTTAATTAATAAACTTACAATGTTCTTCTCTACCATTCTTCTTTTTTGCTTCTGGTTGTCACTTTTGAAGCTTCCTCAGAGAAGGCTTTTGGCACACCACATGCTCTTGCACTTGTAGATAGCAAACACTGCAAAAAAACCCTAATTTCACCTGTGGGAAATAGGTAGATAATATGATACATAGTAGAGCCAAATTCAAATTCATGCCTTTTTTTATTTTTAATGGCAATAGTAATATTATGGTTTTTTATTGGGTATTAGTCAAATGTTTTATATTTTTGGTTGAGTGTATGTCTGGGATTTTTTTTGTTCTTTTGTATGTTGTGGAATTAATATTATTTTGTATATTGTCTCATACAAATTAATAATAATAATAATAATAATAATATATATATTGAAACAAGAAAATCACTGTTAGTAAAAAACAATAATAGATAATTTTATTATCTATTATTATAGTAATAATTATAAATATTAATAAAAATTAAGCCTTTGTTTAATTGTATGTGCATAAGTACTATATATTCAAGGAAGAAAGTATAACACTTTTAATATATTATAAATGACACCCATACAGTAATGGTAATATAGTGAGACATTATCTAAAACATACGCAAGGACCAATCAGCAAGATTATGGTATTTTACCCAGGATGAAACAAATGGTACTGTTTATGGTCAGTTACCGACTATGATTACAGATGTCAATTCTGACAGTTTGAGATTTGTTAAACTATAAAAGGAATAAAATAAACTATGTACCTGAATCATTTTCCTTTATTGTTAACTCTAAAAAAAACCAACTTTTACAAACCAAATATGTCTACCTATTCTACTATTCAAGTCAAATGTATATGCTCCGTCTGCTCTCCTTATGGTCAAGCTTTTGAGATGGTGTCCAAGCAGACATACAGAAGACATGCTTCTGCCGATCTCATTGAAAAGTTTAAAAGAGATTATCTTTGTAAGTACAATATACAGCAACACTTTTCCAACTAGAATTAAAAGTCTTTTTTTTTATGTCTAACAAAAATATGTATAATTATATATTACAGTACCTTCTACACAAACACTACATGAGCTAAATGATAATGACATGGAGATTGATGCCGAGAACAATGAAGTCAATGAGCAAATTGAATGTAAGTATATAATTTTATTACAGTAGTATAATAGAAGTATAGTCTTTAACACTTTTTATACCAACATAGCTACAGAAGATCTACCTGCTTTTACCAAAGATTTGTTGTTCAATGGCGAAAGTGACAGTGATGATGACAGCATTGAGTCAGACGCTCAGAACGCTCTCAATGCTTTGGATGATTTGGACGATTCTGAAGATATTGAAGGTTAGTACAAAAAAATAAACTTGTAAACTAAAAAATGTAACATATACTAATATCATTATCAAACAGAAAACTTTTCTTCATCTGAGATGCCAACTGATTCCACAAACGCCTTCATTGCCTCTTTTGCTGCGTTCTTCATATCAAAGTATGTTGTGAATTTCGGTGGTGCCATTCTTATCAAGTTGCTCAACAAGGTTCTTGCGCATTTTGGACAGTCCTTCCGTCTTCCCTTGAGCTCCAGTGGTCTCAGTAATATGACCGGACTGAATACTATGATCAAAGGTGTTCAGCGTTCTGTCGCCTGCGGTGAATGTCACCAGACATACCTTGAGTCCGAAGGCGTTTCTCAGTGCTGCAACTTCTGAAAGCTTTTGGGGGCTACATGCAGAAACCAGCTTTTCTTGTCGGCACCTTCAAACTCTTCTAGACCCAAGAGAGCATATTTATACAACTCTATCACCAGTGCATTCAGAATCTTCTTTTGTTGCCCTGGATTTGAGGCAGCCATTAACGCATGGAGATACAGACATCAAGTCTCTGATATAATGTTTGACATCTACAATGGTGCCAAGTGGGGCGAATTGAAGGATCATGACAACAATCAATTTGTGGCCCATGAGCGTTCTCTTATGCTCACGTTGAACATCGATTGCTTTCAGCCTTTCGATGGAGTCACTTACTCATGTGGGGCCATTTACCTTTTGGTTAACAATTTGCCAAGGTCCGAACGGTATAAGAAGGAGAACATTGTCCTCACTAGGCTCATGCCAGGACCAAAGGAAGCCAAGACGAGTGAGATCAATTACTACCTCCGTCCCCTCATTGAGGAGCTTAAACAGTTGTATGTGGGTGTGATGATCCCAACAGCCCAGTGTCCCTAAGGTGCTCTTGTTCGTGCTGCCTTGCTTTTGGTAGCCTGTGACATCCCTGCTGCTCACAAGACCTGTGGGTTTACATCTCATGCCAGTATAAATGCCTGCCATAAATGCGACCACCATTTTCCTCGCCTTGAAAAAGGTCATGGTGTAGACTACTCTGGCTTTGTCTTTTTCAAGTGGGTCCATCACACCAAAGAAGCCAATAGGCAAGATGTAACAACGTGGAGAAATGCAAGTAGTGATGCCCAGCGTACAAGGTTGAAAAGAGAGAATGGAGTCTGCTGGTCGGAACTTCACAATCTCAAGTACTTTAATGCAGTCAAGTGCGCAATCATTGATCTGATGCATAACCTCTTCCTGGGAACAGCAAAACGCATGATGGAGAGATGGAGGTCAGAAGGAGCGTTGACTGATGCAGACTTGTCAGCATCTGCCTGCATATCTGACAAGATGATTATACCCCCTGATTATACCCCTCTGAGAAAGATGATTGGCAAGGGTTTCCCTTTTATGAAGGCCGACGAATGGAAATTCTGGTGCCTGGTGTACTCTCTCATTCTTCTGCGAGGCTGTCTTCTGGATATTTACCTGCGGAACTGGATCTGCTTTGTCAACGCATGCCATCTTCTATCAAGTCCAAGTATTTCCACCGAGGATCTGGATGATGCCCATCACTCTCTGGAGACCTTCTGTGTGGAATGTGAGGTTCTGTACGATCCAGATCTCCTTTCGCCAAATATGCATCTCTATTTGCATCTAAAGGAGACAATCGTCAGTTTTGGGCCGGTGTATGGCTATTGGTTGTTTAGCTTTGAGAGGTTCAATGGCGTCCTCAAGAACTATGCTACCAATCAGAGGGATGGCTTTGAGGCCACTTACATGAGAAGATACCTGGAAGATGCATATAAGAGTGACCTTGCTCATGCCATCATTCCTTGTATCTGCCCATCTCATGCTGGTCTTCTTGTCAAGCTAATTGGTTCATCTGTTTCCTCTGCTTCCTTTGCTTTTGTACTTGATGATTTCATCACATCTGCAAATGCAAACTTTGATATCACCAAAGGCAATGAGCCTTTACTGCCTTCTACTTTTCTGTTGGAGTTGGAAAGGGAAACCAGTATGAAGGAATCCGAGTACCTGAACTTGTTGGCATATTATTGGGAGACTTATGATGACCAGGCCCTCTGCCATTATTGCCAGCCTGGACCAGATCAAAAGATGGTCAATAATTGGATTCAGAAAATGAAATCGATTCATCTTCTGGAACAGGTGTACAAAGGTGGTGATGGTATGGCCAAGCACGGGTCATACATCCAGGCCCTTTTCCAAACAAGCAATGACAGATATATCAATGCGTATACTGGGCAGATACAGTACCTCTTCGTGAACACTGCCACAAACTCGTTTGCTGGCCATTCGAGTTGGCATGTGTTTTCATATGTACGGTGGTATAAAGAGACAAAATTGCAGCCAAAAGTCAATGAGGGTGTTGAAGTTAATGAGAAGGATTTTGTTGTGGAAAATATTGAGAGTATTCTACCTGTACATAGGATTCTTGTACCCGTGGCTATTGGAGAGCACAGAGGTGTGCAAGGTGCAATCAAGATGTGCATTATTCCATTGTCTAGAAAAATATACATTTAAAATATAAAAATAAAATAAAATAAATAGAAAATACCAATTAAATATTGTTAATAACTTTTATATTTCTTTAATATTAATAAATACATATGCTTACTATATATAAATATCTTTTGTTCAGATATGTTTAACCTGAGAGTTTGATATATACCTTTGATAGTACATTTTCATAGCTTATGTTCTAAAATTACTTTAAAAACAAACAAAAAAATGTATTCAACCCAAAGTCAATGTATAAACGATGCACATCTTTTACATTGCGGATTCATCAACAGGTATATGTTTGCACAATACTTGAAAAAAAAAGCGTTTTATTTTATTTTATTTTATTTTATTTTATTCAATTTATGTCATTTTATTTACTTAGGTTTTTTGTTTTTATTTGTTTTTATTCCATTGAAATTGCCCATTCTGGTAACGTGATGGCCAAGCTAGCAGGAATACTCTTGGTTCTAGTTGAACAGTTTTGCTCCAACAAACTATTTGCCTTTTTCTTTAGTCTGACAACAGAAAAGTCATCAACCGTATTAATAACCGCTTGAAGCTATTTTTATAAGAGAAATATATAAGTAACTTGTCTTATCAAATATAGTGTTTTAAAGATTCTTTTTTCTATATGAAAATACCTTATTGCTTCTTCAGCTAGGACGATAAACTTGTAATTTGCCTTCTTCATCACTCTCGCCATCTGACATGACAGTTCTCAAAAGAACTCTACCACAATCAGGTATTTTCATCAATGTGTCAATATTAGTTTTGTAGATCTGGTATGTTAAGACACGACGATCGTAAAGCTATACGTAAAATATTTTAAATATAAGTAAGTAGAGTATAAATATACTTTTTACTTAAAATTCCAACTTACCACCTTTTTGCGACTGCGTCTTCTTGACGAGCTTTGCCAAGAAGTTTTCTTACTAGGAGAGGATCTGAATTCACGTACTTGGTTCCAAAAGTGGTTCTTTATTATTCTGATAAGATCGCTTGTGGGAACCTCAACAGCATCTTTCTGAATTCTCAGATAATTCACAAGTTGCATGGCAAGAGCATTGTTATATTCGTCCTTGAAATTATTTGTCAAAGACTATCCTACTCTTTCGTTGTTTTCAGCAACTTTGATGCGATCCAAACTGGTGAAATTCGGGTTTCTTATGTACCCATAGATGAGTTCCTATAGTTTTTTTTGTTAGAAATATAGAAAGGTTATATTCATTTTAAAAGTTTATATACTGATATCTTCGGGTAACGTTTTCCTGATAAATTTATATCTGATACAGTTGTATCCTCTTCTATCAGAGAAGCATAGTCTCTTACTGAGATAGTGTTTCTATTTGTCATGTTGCTTGTGGTAGCACTGTTGAGCGTTGTTTGTGCATCAATAATATTGTTGACAGCCTTTTTAAGATAGGCATTCGTCTCATTTGAGAGATGAACACCTGTTTCCACATTATTTATCCGTCTTGATATCTTATTGATTTCACTACTCAACGAATCGATTTTCTCATTGGTCGATTCCAGGAGCTCAAGAATCGAGTCTCTCTGACCAATATCAAGCTCTGTATTGGGGGCAGTGACAGCAAGAGAGACAGTGCCTGAAGTACAAGCAATGTTAGTAGTAGTTGCTAGTTCACTACGTTCGACAGCACGCATTCTGGTGTTTTGGTGACAGAGAAGAGAAATGCAGCGATTGCTCATGTTTCTTTTATTGAATACATTAATGACGGTTAATTATCAATATACACTTCGAATGATCATTTTGGATATATATATACAGATAATAAAATGAAGCGAGAGAAAAGATAGTTTGTTATCATATTATGAATGCTATTTAACTATATTTTATTAATAGTAATCTTTATTCAGTAACGTATCTTTTAACCCAGTGAGACATGGCTTGTCAGATATGAAGCTGAGCAGGAATCACTTTTTTTTTTCTTCAGAACTGTGGTGATCCAGACACTTGGTTGTTGGATTTATTACATTTAAGAACATATTCCTATTATTATAGTAAAACAGCTATCATTACAAGAACAAATGAATAATTTATTTATTTTACTTATGGTAAATCAATAAGACCAATAATTAATTACAGAAAGTACTGTAATTATGACAGCTCAGTAAGCACTGAGTTAATATGAGGATACTGCAATTAGATTAAATTATAAACATAGCAGTACCAGCTCTCTAATATCTAAATGAACTCAGACTTAAGAAATTAAGATGTGACTGACAAAGCAGATCGTGTTTTGATATAAAAAGGACAACTTTGTATTCTTTAATAAAGACAACCTATATACAGTCTCAAAGTATTCTTATATACGTCTCAATCTTTTTTACTGTTGATTTTATTCTATAAAACTTCACAAGAACGGTATTTTATTGCCAGCATTTTCTCAGGGTCAAACCAACATAGATCATTGCTTTTTTTTTCTTTTTTTGGCTTATTTATTTTGGTTTATTATTTTTTGCTAGTGACTCTTTTCTTTCACGCGTTCTTTTTCTTCTTGTTCTTATGTCTATTATGTTTTTCCTACTATTACTATATAGCTGATCATCGTTATAGATTCTTTTACTTTTCATGATAGATATTATTTATTGCAGATAAAAAAGGAATAACAATATAATAAATACTCACCACTGACGATCTTATTTTATGTAACCCCCAGCAATCTCTGTTATCTTTGACATTGATGTTACAATCTATTATGATAGTAAGACTTTATCACATAGCTATTGTCTCTTTTTTCTAATCTATTACAGTTCACATAGACCTCTCACTCAAGATCCCTACTGTGATCAGCATGAACTAGTTTTTATCTTATTTTACGTTTGATTATTCTCTGGTAAGTTGACTTTGACAATTGTTCATTATATTTTAATACTTGTTTGTACACAATACTTAAGGCTGTTTATTGTAGTTTAATCAACAGTACTAAACCCCGGCCACCAATGCAACCAAGTTAAATATAATTCATTATTAAAACTGGTCAGTAGATCTCAACTAGAAAGTAAGTATTACAAAGAAAAAAACATCAGGTTTATCCAAAAAATTAATATTTTCTCTTTCACTCTTAGAAAGTTAAGTATACCGTCAAGTAAGTTATATAGCTCACTCAAAATAAGCAAGAAATAATGCTGGTAATACAGCAAGAAAGAGTATCAACCAATACAACTATAGTATACAAGACTCAAAAGAAGCAAGAATAGACTATATATATCAAGAAACTATTGATTATATCAAATGAAATAAAATTCAACTAAAGAATATTATTATTATTCAAATATTACAAAAAATAAACAAACCAAAGAGACTTGTTTTAATAAAGAAAACCAAGCCTATTCATCTGGTTTTATATACAATAAAAAGACCAGTTTCCTCAATTCTATATACAATAAAAAAAACCTGTTTCCTCACTTTTACATATAATAAAGATCTGTTTTCTCATTTTTGACTGTTAAACATATAACCCATTTCCACAATTTATTTCATCCTGACTTTTTTTTAATTGCTTTCATAAGAAACAAATCCAATCATCATGTATCAAATCTAACAGAGAGTTCTATATAATTGGTCATCTCGTCATTTGAGTTTGTGTGTATAAATTACAACAGGCCATACAAAACACTGTATTCATTGAGAGTAAAGCGCAAGTATAATATATTATTAGTTTTGCGCAGCTTGCTGGATATAAACTCATATACCTTTAGACTCCGTCAACCTATATATCTGATCATATACTTCATTGCCATAGATAAAAGTTCACTGTATATCAAAATTAAATATCACTATTAATGGGGGAGTATCTCATCTTCCACTTAGATTTATCTGATATTTGAGCAAGATAAAATTGGTAAATTTTTCTAGTGAAAGCCATTATCCTTTGCTATTCTCTCTAATTGCATCATGTAGTATTCCCGGTGCTTTGCTGGGATACCTTTCCATTCTTTACTTAAAGCAGAAAAGTCTTTGTCAATGAGATTGTGCTTGATTGTGCGTCTCAACGTCTTGAACTGCAATCGTTTCATAGACAAATCATTGTCTGAAAGAAGTACTAGTTGAGGCAAAGGTTGTCCTCCCGGAATTTCTTTGCAGCATGCTTTCCAGTCCTGTTCATGAAGCAACTGCAACAACAAATTGTATTTCTGGGCTTCGTTTTTCCCTTTGAAATTGCCACCTGTGCCAATTACTCACTTGCCAAGCTGGTCAGGATACTTGGTGAATTGAGATCTTTTCACAGACTCAGCAACATGTTCAAGAGCTACCAAAGAGGAAATTGTATGCCATAATATTAATAAGGCAAGCGAATGTACTAGAATAGAGTAAATATGTCTTACCACTTTGCTTAATAATGCTTTGTTGCACTGTACTAAGGTCTTCCGCACTGACAGCTGGGGCAAATTGTTTGCTAAACTGATCTTGAAGCATGTGTACCATTTGCTTTATTTTGGCAATATCAATTTCAATTTTTCTGACAGAGTTTATGAGTGTAGTGTTGATATCAGACATTTTTTGAATTGTTATTTTTTAAGAAAGATAAAAAGAATAAAAGTTATAATTCCCATTATATATATATTTCACAATGTTTACTTATTTAACTTCTTGAAAAGATATATAACAGCTTAACTGTAAACATGTTACTATGACATTATTTTTTTAATTTTCGACACCAGAATATTTTACTGGTTAAAAAAATGACATCAGTGTAAATGGACTTTGGAATAGTAACACAATGTTTAAATGCAATATAGTTAATTAAGCATTCATCATTGATCTTGTAAAGTAAATGTTATAATAGTTATACTTACACTACGGCGGAGAAAATGGTAACATGTTACCACTTTGGTAACATAACTGCCATTTTTTACTTAATAAAAAATGGCAGTTATGACTCTGTATAAGGCCAAAACAGGCACTGTTACCATTTTTTACATAGTAAAAAATGGCAGTTATTTATTATGTAAAAAGCCAAAACAAGCACTGTTACCATTTTTTTCATAATAAAAAATGGCAGTTATTTATTATGTAAAAAGCCAAAACAGGCACTGTTACCATTTTTCAAAAAAAAAATCAAGCGTCCTTCCTTTCCTCTATTACATTCTTTCTTTTGTTCTATTGCTTTCAATTCTAGCACAACCTCTTGTTTTTCCTTTGCAGCTTTAACAGAATGGTCTGTTTTTTATTATACAATATTGAATCGGGTTTAATTGAATTGAATCTTTATTTCAATGCATGTTTTATTAAATGAAAATGATAATAATAATAGTAATAATGAAAAAACAATTCCATCAGCCACTCGCAATAAAAAATGGTTCTGTTTAGCTACTGCAAAACGTATGCAGTAAAACACTACTATTCAAATTGTATTTCATATACTTTGGGTATTCTAATATATCTTAGATAGCACTTATTATTTTTTACCGATTTCTACAAATATACTAATATTAGAGAAAAAACTTAAAATAAATAAATAGATATAATATTATTATAATGCTTACCTTTATATAATATGCTTACTTGTTCAGTAAAATAAGCATTTACTCTAAGAATATATATATATATTAAAGAATGTATTAATATTTAAGATCTATATATAAGAAAAGCAATAAAACATAAGCACTATAGAAAGTCGTTATCATAGAAGAAGAAAAACTTGAGCAAAGATTCAAGTCATGTAACATGAAGCTAATTCGAATCTGATTCATACAACCGGAATGAGCATCTTGTTAGAAAGCTTAACGTGTTTATTCTACTCAATATACTTACATATAATAGAACGACTCCCAAGTATAATATATCAGTACAAAAATATTACTATTAATTTTTTTCCCAAAAAAAAGGCTATATACTGTTTCCTTTTATATTTGAATGTAGCAGAATTGTAGATGCTGTACATTAGCTTCAAATTCTTGTAATCACAACATTAGCAATCATATGAAAGAGGTCGATAAATTTTTTATATGAAAGAAAAAAGGAATAAAAAACATAAAAAGAAAAATGACGAGATAAGAAAAAAAATGTACTAAAGACAGACTAAAAAAATCAAACTCGGCCAATCACAGCAGCCAAACTACGATCTTCGGCTTCTCTTGCGAGCAGGCTCGACACTTGCTGTGGGTGGAGGAGACCTACATAAAAGAGTAAGAAGTTTATATTAGTTTTGTATTAACAGCGCATGAGAAAAAGCAACAATGGTAACTTACAGCACATCTGCCATTATGGGCGACTCAACATCACCAGTTTCTGACATATCAGGAGAAGAAAGCGAAGAATCACTTATGTCTCGCTGTGTCTATAGCATAATAAAAGGAAACGATGTTAATTAAAGTTTACAATATATAGATTTGTTAATTGATAAACTTACTTTGTTCTTCTCTGCCATTCTTCTCTTGTGCGTCTGGTTGTCGCTCTTGAAGCTTTCCCGAAGAAGGCTTCTTGCACACCACATTCTTTTACATTGGTGGATGTGCAATCCACCATTCTTCGCCAACCTCTCCAAATGCATCATGTAGTATTCCCTGTTTTTCTCTGGGATATTCTTCCATTCTTTTGAGGCCGCAGGATAGTCTTTGTCAATGATATCATGCTTTACCGTACAGCCTAATGTTTTGAGATGCAGTCTTTTTACTGTCAAATCATGGTCTGAAAGAGGGACTAATGGGGGCAAAGGCTGCCCTTGTGGAACTTCTTTGCAGTGCGCCTTCCAGTCCTGCTCGTAAAGAATCTGAAGCAACAGATTGTATTTTTGTGCTTCGTTTTTTCCTTTGAACTCGCCGCCAGTATTGATTACTCGCTTACCGAGCTGATCAGGGTACTCTGTGAGCTGGGCTCTTTTCACAGACTTGGCAATGCGCTCAAGAGCTACAAAAAATGTATGACAATATTAATAAAGTAAATAAACATCTAAGCACAGAATATATATGACTTACAACTCTGCTCAATAATGCTTTGTTGCATTGTAGTTAGATCTTCCGCACTGACTGCTGGCGCAAATTGATTGCTGAATTGCCTTTGAAGCTCGCGCAATGCTTGCTTGATTTCAGCAAGATCAACCTCAATCTTTTGAATTGAGTTGAGGAGAGTTGTGTTAATATCGGACATGTTTAAGTTTTTTTTTAGCTATAAGCAGTGAGTTGAAAAGAAAAGGTGATAGTTTAGACAAGTAGAATAAGAGCGATTTGAGTTTGAGAAAGGCAACAATTTATTACAAGCAATTGATAGCTATTTATATGAAAAAGATACAGACAGATGTACAAACAAAACATATAAAAGAAGGGATGCTTATGCACTTGTATGCACCTGTCTGCACCTGTCTGCAGTAGCTCATGTGAACATGATACAGTCTTTTTGTGTCGACACAACAAAACTGTAAGAAATATAAAGATAAAATGAATTAGACTTTAAATCAATATTATATGTATAAATGTTCATACTTTGCACCGTCTACATATTAAACGTTTTAAAGTATATGATATAATAATATAACTCTATACATATTGCAGATATAGCATGAAATTTGGTTAAAGTTCTCGATGACAAAACCCTGTACCAGTTAAAATTATAACTTTAAATATACTCTACAGTAGCTATATAACATCTGAACATCATATAGTTAATTAGCCCCTTTTTATCAACATTAAAGTAAATGTTATGATACTCAAGTTCATATCATACTTATTATCATTATCGACTAAAACGCGTTTTGATTGATGCTGTCATCAAAGGTAAAAATAATTTTAACTGTCATTACTATTATTTACCAAGGGGCATTTTTGACTGAAACCATACATTTTTGAAAAAGGTGTGCTTTAACTCACATCGGCACTTTCAATTAACACCCCTTTCGATCAGTAGTGCTTATCTTGATGATGTCAGTAAAAGAGTATCAGACTATAGCCCTCATTATCTATATCTATTTCTTTAAGTTTTATACATAAACAAGAAAATAATGCTATTAGCTAAATATATATTCACTATCTCAAAAATATTATTAGTACAACACAGATAATATAAATATGTCTTTTCTACCAATGTGTTTAGACAGTACTACTTTTTTTTAACTGTTAATTATTAGAAGGCTGTTTTTCTTTGCCTTTGGTATTAGAGAGTAATTGATAATTTATTTAAAAAAAAACATAAATTATTTGGTCATTAATTATCCTAAATATACATATACCTCTTTATAAAGCCCAAAGAATGTCTAATCGCTCACAAGTAAAGAGTACGTGTCTGTTTCACCGGTGCTCTTTTAATGGTACCCCCTTGTCAACCAAGAAGTATTTTAACTTACATCATAATTATTAATGAAGAAGAATCTTTCCAACCACGGGAATTATTTACTGACAGGTGTTTCACCTAGCATTGACATTACTGTAATCATTGCTATATCATCATTATGAGAGAGAAAAAGAAAAAGAGCTGCAAGCATTTTGGTTAAAAAATAAAGAGTATATAAAGATGTCTTTTACATTTAATAAATAGCACCAAAATCCTCTTCGCAGCTTTATTTTATATATTACATACGTACCAACCCAACCAATATGTCTTCTTCTAACGCCAGCCAGCAGAAAGATAGAATATCTACACAGCAATACCAATGTGATCAATGTGTCTTGTTTTTTGATAACTACCAGAAGCTGCAAAACCACAAGAGAATTCACAGAGGAGATTCAGCAACAATGACTGAAATTGACCAGTCTATTCTGGATGATGTTGACATGTACCATGACGAAAATGATACTAGTAATGAAGATGAATCTGTTAGCAATTCAGGTAATGAAAAGAGCTGTAATTGTATTATTTATTTTCCAATCACTAAATAATGTATTACAGAATATACTATGGAGTCTATGGAGCTTGATAATACTATTTCATGTAAGTGCGCATGTAATTTTGAGGACAGTGAGGGTGAAGCTCACATTTATGACAGCAGCCGAATCAGTACAAATACTTTTACCAAGGCCGAGTTGATGAGTATTCATCTGTCTCAATTGATGCTACAGCATAGAATTGCTAGAGCAGCATATAGAGACATTGTTCAATTTATAAACACTGTCATCCGAGACCATGACGATATAATGATGGGTAAAATATTATATTTTCTGTTACCTTGTACTTTAATTCCAGATCACTAACATGTAGTGATATCGTTTTTTTTTAGAACCTGGGGCTAAGATCAGTCATGGCGAAACTGTTGATGCTTTGCTCAAGTCAAAGTCAAGTGTCAAGGGCCATGAGTATGATGTCTGCTCTAGTGGTTGTCGATTGTATGGCATTAATGACGACCAGGAATCTTGTGTTGACTGCGGCAAACCGCGATACAAGACTGATCCCGATCAAAGTCAGACACCAGCCGCCAGTATGAAACTTATGTCAGTTGGGGATATGCTTTCTCAAATGTTGGCAGATCCAGCCACAAGAGAACTCCTCTGTTACAGAGCAAACCGGGAATCTGTAGCTGGTCAGCTAACCGACATTTTTGATGGTGACAATTACAAGCAGTTGGTGCAGCAGGGCCTGTTCTCCAATCCCGATGATATTGCCATTGGGCTTTATACCGATGGGTTTGTCAATCAAAAGAAAGACAAAAACTCATATACCATCATCTATTGCATAATATTCAACCTAGACCCATCCATCAGGTAATTAATTAATTTATTACTATTTATTATTATTATTACATTTTTTTTTAAAAAAAAATTACTAATAAAATACTTAGATATACCAACAAATACCTTTTGCAACTGGCAATCTTGCCTGGCCCCAAGAAGTCAACTCATTTGGACTCCTTTCTTATACCCATCATCAATGAATTGCGAGATCTTGAGGCACATGGCTTGGTTGTCAAGCACAATGGAGTGGAGCTTTGCAGATCCAAGGTCTATCTTCTGCTTGCTTCTGGCGATATTCCAGCTGTAGCTGATATGGCCCACATTGGTTCCCATACAAGTTTATTTGGTTGCCGTTTTTGTGAGACCAAAGGCAAATGCCCTACTAACAGACGGCATGGCATGTACTTTGATGACATTTCCGCCCGGTTAAGACCTTTGGAAGACTTCAAAGTAGGCAACCCTGTAAGTATACAAATGTTCAATTAGCCATCTTTTTTTCATACTAAATAACTGCTTGTAATAGTTGAAGAACATATACCAGCTGAGCATATATACCCAACTCTCAGCCTTCTCTGAATCATCATTTTTTGCATTAGATGAACTTCATTTAATTGCAAGAGGGATTGGAAAGCTTGTGTATGACCTGATTACCGTCACCCTCACAAAGGAAACCAAATTTTATTATACCCATCCAGACAATACCCTCAATACCACCGAATACCCTTTTCATATACCAAGAGCAGACCTTGTAACAATCGGAAACTGTATCACCAGCTCACGAAAATATATACCCACCTCATTTCAAGGCAGTTTCGACAACGTATTTGCCAAGATCGATGGTACTCGCGCAGTGGACTGGCTTGACTTTCTCTTATACCTTGTCCCCACTTTGGTCGTGCCTTATTTACCAAATAGGGCTGTTAAAACAGCTCTATTATCTCTCGTGAAAGGTTGCACGCTTGCCTTGCAATGGACGTTGACATCAGAATTGCTTGATGAGATGGAGTCGTAAGTTATTATACGTCTCATATATTATCATTACAAATAGCTGATTGTTACCATTTTTTAAATATTAACAATAGATACTTCAAGCACTGGCACTCGGTTTTATACCAACAAGTCCAGAATAATACCCTGTCTCGTAGTGTTTTCCGACCAGTGCAACATTACCTGGTCCATATACCCTATATCATCAAGCAGCAAGGCCCCCTGCAATGCTACTCCACTCGCTCAATGGAGAGAGTAATTGGCGTCTTCTCGAAATTGATTAAGTCCAAATCAAAGGGTGGCCAAAACGCCAGTTTTCTCGTCGAGCGATTTGCGATTCACAATTATACCAGCACGGCAATCAGCATCTGTGATGAAATCAACCTCATTCGGCCAAAGCCATATGGAAGAGAGAGCTACATGGACCTTCCTAATGATCCTAGTGGTGCGCAGTTGTGGGAGCTGTTTCATCAGTTTGTTAATTTGAATGATGATTCGGTGGAAGGTGTAGGCAGCCCTAGTGTGAAGGAAGCTTTATTGAAATACTACCAGAGAACAACAGGCTTGACTGGCCACGAGTTTGGTGACTCTGTTGTTGTTGTAGCTGCACGTCTGTGGATGGACTCGACTGTATATTCCTCATGCATGTACCGAAGAAAGAAAAACGAGACCAGCCGTGGCAACCATTACGTGATGTTTACTTGCCCCTATAGAAAGTAAGTATAATATTTTTCGATATACAATCAAAAGTTGCTTACATTCTATTTATTTATTTATTTTAGCAACCGTAATGTAATTGTTCACAGCTGGCTCGTCGGTACAGTACAGTTCTACTTTCAGCATGTAGATTTCTATGGCTTCCCACACTTTCTTGCTTTCGTGGAGGTCATGAAGGAACATGACGCGGCTGGTCATGACTCATCAGTACCTATTGTCAAACAACGGTCACAAAGCACCCGTACACTAGGCCACCAAACGCAACCGACTTATGCAGTTATAAGTGTAAATGACATTTGTCATCAAGTTGGTCTGGTCCAATACCCACCGAATGGAAACCAGTTTTATGTAATCGCGCCCTATTATATCTTTAACAACAACATGCGCATTACTAAAGACAATCTTTCCATTCTGTAATCCTTTTTATTTTTATCTTATTTTTCTATATGCTCTATATCCTTATATCTTTTATATTTTTTATATCATCCTTGTATCTTATATTCTTTTTTTAATTTTCTCTATTTCTTATGTTTTTTTAATCTCTATATGCCCCATCTTTCTTTTCTTCTTTATATACTCCAGTTTTTTTTCTATTCTCTATACACCTTATGCTTTTCTCTTCATTCCCTATATGCTCTATACGCCATTACGCGATTTAAATAAAATCAAATTGCCAATTCATCAAGATAAAAAGAATATCTAAAAAAAAAAAGAACGTAGTTTAAAAAATAAAAAAATGGCAGTTATGTTACCATTTCGTTCACACATTCCAAAAATTATTAATCTTAATAATTGTTGACATCTTTGATATTCAATAAAACATATATTTCAATACTCAAAGTGGTCATTACAACTTACAAACATTTTTTACAGTATTGAAAATATTGTACAGCAACAAAAAAAGTGTTTTCATGTTACTTTTTTAAATTGCTACGAATGACATTACCATCTTACAACAAACGGCGGAGATTTTATTGGGTTTCGACCAAAAAAATGGCAGTTATGTGCCTACTTTCGGCCCAACTGCCATTCATCCCGCCGTAGTGTTATACACTCCGACAATAAAAATCATCAATGAACCAAATTTTTCATGCTGCTTTTTTTATAATATTCTTTACCTTTCTCTTCCTCACACCTTTACCTCAAACTTAACCATCAATGTCGAAAAGTAATAAAAGAATTAAAACTACTCCCTCCAGATGTGAGCTGTCAGATTTTGAGCATGGAGGCATTGTTTGGCTCTCAAAAGCCGATCATACTCTAACTGACATTGCAAACCGTATGAACATTCCTAGAACTACAGTTCTCGATACAATAAAGCGCTGGGAGACTACTGGAACAGCCAAGACAAAGACCAGACCTGGGAGACCAAAGAAACTTAGTGTAACAGACGTTACAAGTCTTTGTTTGAGTGTGAGATGTAATCCTTTGAGAGTTATGGATACCACCAGGCAAATTTGGGAGCTGCTGACATTATTGTCTGTAGACAGACAGTTATCCAATACCTATGAGCAAAAGGCTTTGGTTCTTACACCCCTGTATCTAAACCAAAGTTAACCCATGAGCAGAAAAAGAATTGGTTGCGTTGGGCTAGAGCTAGGGCCAGTTTTAGTATCGAAGACTGGAGCAGAGTGGTGTGGTCAGATGAGTCGAGGTTCATGGTAAAAGGCAATGATTCTGACCCATCCGTAATTCGTAAACAAGGGGAGAGGCACCAGGAACGCCATACACTAACAACAGAAAAGTATGGAAAAGGTTCCGTGATAGTATGGGGTTGTTTCTGGGCTGGTGGCATTGGGCTATTATCATTTATCAAAGGATCTGTAGACCAAGATTCATACGTCAATTGTCTGTCTAAGGACTTCAATCCCTGGTACAAAAAATTGAATAAAGAACATGACATTATATTCACATTCCAAGAAGATGGTGCTAGCTGTCATACTGGGTCCTACACAACGTGGTGGAAAAACTGTTGGGAGATTAAACGATTTGACTACTGGCCATTGCAAAGTCCAGATTTGAACCCAATTGAGCATGTCTGGCATGCCCTAAAAGCCAAGGTTCAAGAGAGAAAGGCCTCTATTAACAATGTGCAAGAGCTGAAGACCTGTATTCTTTAGGAATGGGAGTTGCTTGACCCTGGAGTTCTGCAAACTCTTGTGGCAAGTATGCCTGACAGAGTTAAAGCAGTCATAAAAGCTCATGGTGATCATACCGTATATTAAACCTTATTTTTTTATTTTTATTCTATAATATATATACATTTCTCTATAACAACACAATGTTTGGTTTTATTTTGTCAACTTCTTGAGAGGATATAGCATAATGAAGTTGATGTATGGTTTATTCGGGGGTAGAAATCAAAGATTCTGTTGGTGATTTCAGTTTTGGGAGTGTATAATACTTGTTGTCATTATTGATCAAGATGTTTTTAGCTAATATCATCATCATTTTTATTGTTGTGATATCATTGCAAGAAATAAAATAAAAGAAAATAAACAAAGTGTCCTGAGATAAAGAGTATATAAAGCTCTTTTTATGTTGTGCAGATATAACCAGAATCTTTTTTACAGTTTCATTTTATATACTAAATACTTACCAAAGCAACCAATATGTCTTCCTCCAACATCAATCAGCAGAGAGATAGATTATCTACACAAACACACAAATGCAATCAATGTGTCCTGTCGTTCAACACTTACCATCAGCTTCAGAACCATAAGAGAGGTCATGAAAACAACTTGGCGTCAGCAAATATCATTTCACAATCTATTGCAGAGGATGTTGAAATGCAAAATGATATTAGAAATGACATTATTGACGATAATGGATTAGTTAGCGATTCAGATAATAATAATCAGTGTAAAATTATTAATAAGTGATTGGAATACTCATTTAATAATGCATTATAGATTATGCTGTGAATGCAATAGAGATCGACGAGGTCATTTCTTACAAGTGCAGTTGTAGTTTCGAGGACAGCGAGGGTGAAGCTCATATTTATGATAGCAGCATAATCGGTAGAAATACTTTTACAAAGGGCGAGTTGATGAGTATTCATTTCTCTCAATTGGTGCTTCAGCACAGAATTTCCAGGGCAGCTTACAGAGACATTGTCCGATTTGTTAATACAATCATTCTAGATCACGATGAAATTATGTTGGGTAAAATAGAATATTTATGTTACCTTACACTTTAATTTCAAATTTCTAACATGCAGTGATGTTGTTTCTTTTTTTTAGAACCTGAGGTTAAGATCAGCCACAGCAAAACTGTTGATGCTTTGCTCAAGTCCAAGTCAAGTGTCAAGGGCCATGAGTGTGATGTCTGTCCTAATGGTTGCCAATTGTATGGCATTAATGACGATCAGGAATCTTGTGTTGACTGTGGCAAACCGCTATACAAGACTGATACTGAGCAAAGTCAAACACCAGCTGCCAGTATGAAGCTCATGTCAGTCGGTGATATGTTTTCTCAAATGCTGGCTGATCCAGCCACAAGAGAACTTCTTCATTATAGGGCTAACTGGGAATCTGTAGCTAGTCCGCTCACCAATATTTTCGATGGTGAAAATTACAAGCAGTTGGTGCAGCAAGGCTTGTTCTCAAATCCTGATGATATTATCATTGGTATATAGCCCAATGGTTTTGTTAACCAAAAAAAGGGCAAGAGTTTGTACACCATCATTCATGCTGTTGTATTTAACCTTGACCCGTCAATAAGGTAATAAATTAATTAATATATTAATTTCAAAAAAAAGTTACTAATAAAAAGCTTAGATACACAAATAAATACCTCTTGTATCTGACAATCTTGTCTGGTCCCAAGAAGCCTACCCACTTGGACTCTTTCCTGATGCCAATCATCAGTAAAATAAAAGATCTTGAGGTGCATGGCTTGATAATCAAGAGCAATGGAGTTGAGGTTTGCCATGCCAAGATCCACTTGTTGCTTGCTTCTGGTGACATCCCAGCTGTGGCTGACATGGTGCACATTGGCTCACATGCCAGTTTGTTTGGTTGCCAAATCTGCAAAACAAAGGGAAAAGCCCCAGACAACAGATGGCATAGAATGTACTTTGAAGATAGTTCTGCTCCTTTGCAACCTTTGGAAGACTTCAAAACTGGCAATCCTGTAAGTATATAACAGTTTAATTAGATTTTTTCTTGTACTAAATAATTGCTTATAATAGATAAAAAATATATACCAGCCAAGCATCTTTAGTGAACTGTCAACCTTCTCCGGATCTTCCTTCTTTGCACTGGATGAACTTCATTTAGTTGCAAAAGGAATCAGAAAGCACATTTACGACTTGATCACTGTGTCCCTTACCAAGGAGACAAAAAATTTTATATCCGTCCGGATGATACTTTTTCCACCACAGAATACCCATTTTTCATACCAAGAACTAGTCTTGTGACAATTGGCAACTGTATCACAAGTTCAAGACCATATATACCAGTATCATTCCAAGGCAGTTTTGATAATGTCTTCTCCAAGATTGACGGCACTCGTGCAGTAGATTGGCTTGACTTTCTTCTGTACATTGTTCCCACTCTTGTTGTCCCATTCTTATCAAACAGGGCTGTGAAAACTGCGGTGTTGTCACTTGTCAAAGGTTGTGCACTGGCATTGCAATGGACGCTGACTTCGGAGTTGCTGGATGAGATGGATGTGTAAGTCATAATGCCTCTAACACTATATAAAACTAATCACAACCTTTTTTTTAAAAATAATAATAACAACAACAATAGACATTTTAAACACTGGCACCACTATCTATCGCAACAAGTCTAGCACAAGACTATATATCATAGTGTCTTCAGACCAGTACAGCACTATCTTATGCATATACCATTCATTGTCAAGCAACTAGGTCCACTTCGATGCTACTCCACTCGATCAATGGAGAGAGTAATTGGTGTCTTTTCCAAGCTAATCAAGTCTAAGTGCAAGGGCGGCCGTAATGCCAGTTTTCTTGTGGAGCGATTTACATTGCATAACTATGTCAACACGGCCATCAGTATCCAGAACGAAATTGATCTTATTCAGCCCAAGCCGTATGGTAGAGAAAGTCATATGCATCTTCCTAATGATTTTAGTGGTGCGCAGTTGTGGGAGCCATTTCATCGATTTGCTCATTTGAATGATGATTTGGTGGAAGGTGTAAGCGGCCCTAGTGTGAAGGATGCCTTAACTAGATACTATCAACGAACTTCAGGTTTGATGATTTCCAATATTGGTGATTTTACGATTGTTGTTGCTGGTCGTTTATGGATGAATCCGACCGTGTATTCATCTTGCATGTATCAACAAAGAAGAAATGAAAGAAGCCGCGGTAATCATTACATGATGTTTACCTGTCCTTACAGAAAGTAAGTATATATCATTTTTCAATATAAAATCAAAAGTTACTTACATTATATTTATTTCTTTACTTTAGCAACCATAATATAATTGTTTACAGCTGGCTCGTTAGTGTGGTGATATTCTTTTTCCAGCATGAGTATTCACTTGTCTCTCTTCGTTTCCTTGCTTTTGTTGAAGTAATGAAGGAACATGACGCGGCTGCCCACGACTCATCTGTACCAATCGTCAAACAGCGGTCACAAAACAGCTCAACAGGTCGCCAAACACAACCTACATATGCAGTAATAAGTGTCAATGATATTCGTCATCAAGTTGGCCTTATACAATACCCACCAAATGGAAATCAGTTCTACATAATTTCATCTTATTATGTTTTCAACAATAATATGCGCATTACAAAGGGCAACCTTTCTATTTTATAACTTTTTTTTATTTTTTATTCTTTATATGCTCTATATACCCTATATTTTTTATGCTTTCTATATTTCCCATATATTCTATATTATTATTTTTATTTTCTATATATCTTATGTTTTTTTTTATTTTCTATATACTCTATGCTTTCTATTTTTTTATTTCTCTATATGCCCTATCTTTTTTTTATTCTCTATATATCTTATGTTTTTTTTTCATTCTCTCCATGTTCTATATGCCGTTACGCAATTTAAATTAAAATAAAATTGTTAAGTGAACAAGAAGAGAGGTGTATCTTTTTTAAAAAAAGTCTTGGTTTAAAAAAAAATAATGGCAGTTATGTTTCCTTTTCGTTCACACATTCCATAAAAAATTAATCCGAATAAAACTGGACATCTTTAATATTAAATAAAACATATATTTTAATACTTAAAGTGGTCATTAAAACTTACAAACACTTTCTAGACTATTTGAGACATTGTACAGCAACAAAAAAAAAACAGATTTCATGCTACTTTTTTAAAATGTTGCTAATGACATTGTCATCTTACCAAAAACTGCGGAGAAATTATTGGCTTTTGACCAGAAAAATGGCAGTTATGTGTCTATTTTGGGCACAGTTGCCACTTCTATAGCCATAGTGATTACTGCATTTTTTGAAGAAGAACGCAATGAAGAGTTATGTATGACCGTCAGCAGCTTCCTATTGGACGAGCTTACTCACGACTACTCTGACAATGATATTGAAAAAAATATCCCAAAGAAGTGCTGTACTATGATCTTCTGTTTTAGACAGTGAGGCCACGATCAGCTGTTCAAGGGTTATTTCGATGAAAGTACAACCTACACTGACAAACAATTCTGTAGACGTTTTAGAATGAACAAAACATTGTTTATGCGAGTTCTGGAGGCTGTCAAAGACCATGACAGCTACTTTGAGCAAAAGTTAGATGCTGCTCGTAGACCCAGATTCTCTCCTATCCAGAAGGTAACCGTAGCTATCTGCCAGCTAGCATATGGACCTCCTGCCGATTCCATGGACGAATCGTTCAGAATGGCAGAGTCAACCGCTCTTGAGTGTCTGAAGCGTTTCTGTGCTGCAGTTGTATCTGTTTTTGGCAATGAGTACTTGAGAGTGCCAAATGAAGCAGATGTAAAACGACTTCTTCAAGAAGGGGAATCAAGAGAGTTTTCTGGAATGCTAGGTTCCCTCAATTGCATGCACTGGGAGTGGAAGAACTGTCCCACTGCTTGGCACAGGCAATACGTTGGAAAGAAGAAGACTCCTACCATCGTTTGGGAAGCTGTTGCTTCATATGACCTCTGGATCTGGCATGCTTTCTTTGGCTTGCCTGAATCCTTGAACGATATCAATGTCTTGGACCAGTCTCACCTTTTTGAGAATATAACCAATGGAAAAGGCCCTGAAGTTAACTTCACAATCAATGACAATACTTATAGCCAGGGATATTACTTGATGGATGGCATATACCCAACCTACGCTGCTTTTGTTAAAAGTTTTAATGACCCTCAGTCTGCAAAGCACAAGGTACTTGTATGTATATTGTATTGTTACTTATTATATTTACTAAGCACTTATCTTCTTGAAGAACTTTGCAAAGGCACAAGAGGCAGTCAGAAAGGATATAGAGTGTGCATTTGGTATATTGCAGGCACGTTTGGCAATAGTTGCTGGGCCAGCAAGAATGTGAAGTCAGGAAACTCTGCATGACATTTTGACTACTTGCATAATCTTGCACAATATGATTGTAGAGAATGGTAGAGGAGAGAAAGAAAATGTTGGTGAAGGTAATGGAGTAGAAAGAGAAGTTGTGGGAGAAAGATCTGAGGTGGATACTTCCTTGACTGGAACGACGTCCTTGATGCCCAGATCAGAGATAGTGCTCCCAGATGGAAGCTTCGCAAGTTTTATCCAAAGGTATATAGAAATTCGAAACCGTGAGCATCACTTTCAGTTGAGACACGATCTCGTAGAAAGCCTGTGGCAAAGAAAAGGAGATTCATTAATAAAATAAAATTAAAAGTAAAATCAAATATATTTATTATTTTTGCTTTTACTTTTTGCAAACTAATTGCCATCACAATCCTCTCCTTCGCTGCTAATATCAAAGAGATTGCTGCTCATACTGTCATTATTGCTGATGGGAGTATTCCCTATACCTCCTTCTTCAAGTCCAACATCATCTGACGGCTGACAGGATCTGCAATCAAGGAAGTATCGATCAACAGAACCTTTATGTCCTGAGTCCTTTGAAGAACAGCATTTTTCTCTCTTATGGCCTTTGCCACCAAGACGTTAGACTCCATAGTCTTTTTTAGGAGCTTCTTACGCTCATCACCCTTTGCAATACTTTCTGAATGCAACGCAATCAACCTCTCAACTTTCTCCTCCCACTTTCTTCTAGTCGCCTCTTGCTCCTTGGCAAACTTTCTTCCAGCTGGGCGAGCTGGAAACTCCTCTTCGTTTATACCCTCACCAATTGGGTTAGGGGCAGAGGCCGCCACTTTGGAATTTCTTCCCTTCTTTTTGGCTGGAGCACTTGGCTTCCATTTTGGGTGTCTAGCCAAGATTCTGAAGCAGTAACAAAGGTTGAACTTCGTTTTTGTCTCAACGAAGTACACCTCATCTGCCTTTGCCTCCTAAACTTTTATTTAACTACTGTGAACAGCATAATATGTATTATCTACATTTCAATAACTTACATTCCATTTGTCATTGGTGCCACTGGAATTCGAGCGCACTATAGCCGACAAGATACCGGCATACTTGTTTACACCCTTGTTTATAATTTGCCAGCAATCAGGCAAAGAACGTTCATTAGGCAGAATACAGCCCTCAGGAGCATACTCATGGTAACGGTTAGTTATTTTTTCCCAAAAAGTATCCCCCTTTTGTTCAAAACCTTGAATTGCATCCAAGGTGATGCAAAGGTATGAACGACAGAGCTGTTCATCTTCAGCAATAGTGAGGTTTTTTTTTTGGGTCTTCTACATATACATGGACAATATTTATAGCCAAAATTATATAATCATAACTCTTAATATTAGTATTATAGGCATATATATTGCAATTGCAACATCACTTTTGCTAGAAGTGTCAGCTTCAAGATTAATGGTGTTGGGAAGGTTGCTCATTATAGCTTTTTTTTATATTTCTTTTGTAGAAGAGTGAAAGAAAAATTTAAAAAAATTAATATTGATTTATAATATAACACTACATATAATGTTCCTGACCCTAAAAATTGACTACATTATCTATAATGTTGTCTGTAATGTAACCGCTGCAGACGATTTTTTAAGAACATTTCGGAATTTACATTAAAACAGTTGCAAAAATTAATTTTAATGTAACCACTGCAGATGCTCTAACCTAATTACTTACTACTGTGAAATACATTGACATGATTAACTATTTGAAATCAGAGCTAATACTGAAACTCAAGTTTAATATATATTTAGTTAATTAGTTATGTTTTTATTTCTGAAAATTTTGGAAGAGAAAAAAATATATAGCACTTGTATTTTTACCAGGAATGGCTATTCAATTTAAAAATAAGAAAATAAAATAAAATAATGGCTTCATGACACAAAAATAAATTTAAAGCTTTCTTAATATAGAAAAAATATTTAGAAATTGAAAAAACAGCTTTTTTCTTCCAAATTTGGCAGATTGTTTCAAATAATCATCACCACCAGAGAAATTTCTTGTGTAATCCTATTCCCAAAAGGGTGTCAGAGTAGACATGTTCATTTCTTTACCATATATGGATGAGCAAATTTTTACAATAGTTTCTGGTTGAAATAAATCACGGATTTAAAAATGCGTTTTCCAAAATATCAAAAATCGTTCAAAATAAATTCTGTTTCAAATAAATAGTTTTTATTTTTTATTTCAAAGTAGAGAAAATGTTAAGTTATTTTATATAACTTATAGACAGAAATATACAATAAATTGAATCTAGTTGTTCTAAAGTAAATGAAAAGGCGGGAAATCTATATCACTCATGATTCTTAAATATAAAAACAACCTAATAAAATATAAATGTAATGAGTATTTCAAGCTTAAAAAAATAAGTTAAACAGAAGCTTGCCTTTGACTTTACCAAGACACATCTTATAAAAATTTGAATCTCTGCAAGTGGAAAGGAATAAAAGGTTATTAGTATTCAATTACTTTGTAAACTAGGCATGCAGTTATTACCTCTTAACTCATTTTGACCAGATGATGAAAAAACTAATTGTCAACAAATGAGGCCCAAGATGAATAACTGCATCACATAGTAAAGTACTGCTCTTATATTATACATATCTCAAAAACAAAAGTACACAGGCGTATCTCCTATAAAGATAATTACTAGATGTAAACGCATGTAATGAATAAACTGTTGTCAGTAAAGTAGAGTAATAAATAACGCAAAGGACATAATCTCACACTTATTCAAAATCGATTTAAAAAATTTTCATTGGTGTACTAGCTTTTAATACCAATATCGCATCTCACAGAAATATTTAAAAAAAAACGCTAAGTCATTCTCTCTCAGTTTGCCTTATTTTTATAAGTTATAGCTGTATCTTCAATTATTAATTATTAAAGGTACAGCTGTAACTTATTAATAAAAATATGTACATATCTTTATATCTTAATTGAGTTGAGTTTTGTTTTAGAAGATTGCTTGTGTTAGGCATTTTTTACTAGTATTATGTAAGAAACAAAAAAAAATCATATTGTTGTGGTGGTTGAAGTTGAAGAAGGTTTTAAGAAGAAGAATTAAAGATTTGAGATGAGGAACGAAGATTCGTGAGAACTTGTGTAGGGTTTGTTTATTGAGAAAGATTTGGTATCAAAATTTGACGAGGTTCTTACACTGAACTACTACTGCTATTTATATTTTTTTGGATTGGGAAAATTATATGACTGGGATCAGATAATCGATCCTATCTGAGCCTTAATCAGAGCAACGTGATCTAGGAATAATTAATGTATGATTAATTATATAAATGTGTGTAGTTCCAATAAAGTATTAACATCGAAAGTAAATATGTTTATGAGTTATAATTATGCTTATAATAATCCACTGATGTATCCCATATTATGGTGATATTATCATATGAAATATAATCACTATCATGCATGCTAAACCTGTTTATTAAATAATAAAGTATTCAGTAGATACCTTTGACTGGAATAGCTGAGGCCTTATATTCTTTCCTTCAGACTTATTCTCAATTACAGCAGTAGTCAACACTCATTTACAACACATATATTTTTTCTTGTTTGAAATTTTGACAAAGTCATTTTATATGCTGAAAATCGTTGCCTTTGCCAAATTTTAACAGAATTTTTTTTCATTGCTCAATAAAACCTCCGAATTTCCTTATTCAATGCTTTATCTTACTTGAGCAGCTTTTTATTGTGATCAGAAAGGTTTGAAGTAGAACCAAAGCTGTTTTCCTCCTTTATTTGGAAGAGAAAAGATTTAACTTACAAAATTACACAAAGAAAAAATCTCTAGACCAATTATATTGCTTGGGTATCATACACTACCATATTTGGTTTCTAATTTCTGTGGTGGTGATAGAATTTTTTCTATAGTATATGTTTTAGATGTTTAAGATGGTGAATATACTTGTAGAAAAAATTACTAGATAACAAACATCTAAGACATATTATTGTAGCTATTCTTTTAGCCAGAAATCAATTATCATTTTGTATAAATAGTCAAGAAATATATTTAATAAAAAGTATCTTTCACTGTAGAAAATGAATTACGAGTATTTTTTTATACTCGTAACTTTCTGCCCTAAACTCGTAACTCCAAAAGTCTAACACACACTTACTAAGTTTAGTATGTACTAAATCTATTTTAGTACACGAAAGCTGATATTCAAACAAAATCGTCTTACTTTTAAGCCAGAAGGCCATTTTAGATAAATATAGTATGTGAAGCTACTTATCAGACTGCAAAACTGGGAAAGGGACAAACATGGCCTACAGATTACTTATATTTTTAATCTGAACTTAAAAAGTCTTTGCCACCAAAAAGTAATGGCTGTGATTACTTTTTAATGTAGTGTTGTTTTTTTATTTTGTAAAAGTCTTTTTTAATTCTATTTTTTTACAAGGTCTAAATTATTAAAGATCTCCAAAAAGAACACACCTAATAACTATGAAGGCTAGTATTAATAAGATAAAAATCAGCAAAGTTGACAAAAGAAAGTAACTTGAGAAGAATTGATAGAAAAATATCTGCATCAAATACAATTTGGCTGTTAAGATTGCTTGCATGCTCATTAGAGATCTTGGTAGAATTTGAGAATCGCAGAGAATCTGTCTTCTGTTTTTTCAAAGGTAGAGATCAGACATAACAATGTTAACACAAAGCAGGTTTATACTCTTTGATTAAAAGAATCAATTAAGAAATATATATGACTTCATCAATATCATAGTACTTAGAGAATAGCTTATTTTTAGATAAAACAATGTAAAAAGTATCATATAAAAATAGATATATAAATATTATTTAATGAATGTATAGCTTAAGCTGTTACTAAATATCATAAAAATTAGTACTTCTTCTTTGCATACTTCTTTATGTTTAACTTGTATTATTTTGATCAATAAAAACCAAAAAAAAATTAATATAAAATATCATGCATTTGTTGAACCAATCATAATGAGAATATAAATACCTAAAAAGATATAGATCTGCCATATTTAGAATATTTTATTGGCTTAGATGCAAAATAATAGAAAATCCCGTAAATTGTATTTGACAAAAAGTAAAACTAATAGGCTAAAACAGGCATGCTATTGGCTATAAAAGTTATAAGTATGTAACTTGTTATGAGGTTGGAGGTGTAAATCCTGCCATTTCCTACAGTGTTTATTTCCCTATTTTAAAACTATTCATAAACTTGACGATCCCCAGTAGTATTGCTTCTGCGACTTAGTTACAAGTGCCAGAAGAGAAATACCAGATCAAGACTTGACAGGTTGATGAGAATTTGGGCATAATAAAAATAATGTCCAACAAAAGGTGCTTGCCACTGCCCAAAAATTTATCGGCATCAAGAATTTAAGCAGTGTTTTTTATTTCAAACAAATCAACGCCGTGACATAATCTGGATCCCAAAAGAGAACAAAATCTAAAAAAGGAAACGGATGCTGACTAATTTTATTTTGAAAACATGTCCAAGGCAGATTTTCTGGATCACAAAAAAGGATATCTAAACTACCAGCACTCCTTTTTTGGATTTTAATTTATTTTTTAATTTTGGGTTTTAAAAAACATAAATTTGATATATAAAAGCAATTAAAGAAACCAAGTAGTATTTACTTACCTTTTACCAGCTCTACAAACTAAAAACCTTCAATTTAAAATAACTATGAGACAAGAAAACCTCTCTGGCTACCTTGTATTAGAGTTTGATAATACTTCCAACAGCAACAGCAACAGCAACAGCAACAGCAACAGCAACAACAGCAACAGCAACAGCAACAGCAACAACAACAACAAACATATACCAACAACAACAACAACAAACATACACCAACAACAACAACAACAACCGTACACCAACCCATCTCAACCCTACCAGCGCTGTATCATCAGTCAATGATACAGCAGCTATTGTCTATCCTGGCCTTTCCCTTCTCATTGACAGTGATTTGGAAACAGCTTGTGTGAGCCCTGCTCAGGAAGAGCCTGTTACTACCTCTGTCACTACCCCTGACTCCAGTGATATAGATGGTGATTGTGGCCGTGGTGGCCGTGGTAGCCATGGTAGCCGTAGTGGTTGTGCTCGCCATGGTGGTCGTGGTGGTCATGGTAGTCGTGGTGGCAGTGTTGTTGACCGAGATGAGACCAGTACTCAAACACAAGTTCCCAGCCGAGTCAACATTTCTTGGGACCACCAGTCAGCTGTCATCTTGTTGAATGAAGTCATGAAGTCCAACTACATGAGCTTGGTCGACATGCCTAACACACAGTTAAGAGGTGAACGGTGGGACCAGATAGTGGTGACGTTCAAGAGACTATTGAGTCAGAATGGCTTTGATGTGAGTGCTTCAAACAACATGATAACACCAAGAAAGTTGCAAGACAAATGGGCAGATTTGAAGAAGAACTTTCATTCTGTTCAGTGAACCCTTAACGGAGCAGGTGTTGGAGGAGGTACAGGTGAAGAGAGATGGCCATACTATAATCATGTTTTCGAAATCTTGCGTGATGATCCATCCGAAAATTCTGGCATCAACATTGAATCCATGATTCGTAATCAGCGCCATGGAGTTACAATTTTGATGACATCTAGGGCTGAAGCTTCTATAGCCAAACTGCAGAGAAACATTGAGGTTGCTGCTTCTGCTTCTGCTGTCGCATCTGTTGAACCTTCTCTTCTCAATACTTTTGACACGAATATTGCAACAGCCACATCAAACAGCAGAAATAGTGCTGGTCCTTCTAGTAGGCTACCCACCAGGGGTACAAGACGAACAAGAGAAGAATATGAGGCAGAAAGAGATGACATGCTCTTTGAAAGACTTCTGAGCATGCACCGTGAGAGTGAAGAACACACAAAGGAAGTCTTGCATTCTCTCGCTGCTTCAATGAGAGAGGAGAGCAAAGCCCTTCGACGAGACCAACAGCAACAGCACCAACAGACGTTGGAAATGTTAGAAAGGATTGCGAGAGAGTCAGATGACCGCCTGTTAAGTGTTATTGGGTCTTTCTTTAACACTAGAAATAGAAACGGTGAAAATAACAATAATGATAACAATAGCTAGTTGATTTTTTTTTTGTTCTACAAAATATTAAACTGAAAATAGAAAAAACAACCTTTTTTTATCTTTTGTTCGTTGGTTTTTTATTGGTTACATTGATCATTATTCCTTCTGCCCCCTCTTCTGGAGATTGCTCTCAGCTGGCTGTCTTGTCTTTGTTGGCGTCTTTGCTGCCTCTGCTGCTCTCAAAGGTCAGCCTGAAACCGTCTTGTCTGGGTCTCTGTCAATGGTCTCATGACCTCCGTCATTCTTTCTCTTCTTTGTCTCCCGCGTTCTTGAGAAAGATCATGTGCAGACTGGAGCTGTCTCATGGAACGATTCACAGTTCGTGAAGCATTCTCCAAATCCACAGATATCTCGTTCATAAATGGATTGAGATCCTCAACTTCTATCTCTACGTCATCATCATGACCTCCATTTGTGTACACATCAAAACCACACACTTGGTTCTCAAAGGTACAAAGAGTGTCCTCCGAGATGTTCCTTGCCGTGTCATTGTTATCCAAACAAAAGTTGTGAAGAGCACAACAAGTGATAATAGTAAGAGCTATCTTTTTGATACCCAAAAAGTACAAGTGTCTCAACAAAAAACGCCATTTCTGTACGAGTAAGCCAAATGCATTTTCAATGTGATGGCATGTTTTTGCATATGCCTTGTTGAACACTTGTTGCTTGGGGTCTTCAGTTGCAATGGGATATGGAGGGAGCATATTTTCCATGATTGGAAATGCAGAATCTATATTAATAGAACATTGGATTAAAAGATGTACGTTTATTAAACAGAAGCTTTAACATAAAAAATTACCTGCAAGAATGACCATATCATTGGGAAAGTAGTAATCTTGGTCAAAAAGTGTGTTTATATAGAGAGAGCTATCTGTGATTAGCCTTGCATCGTTGACAAGGCCTAAGTATTTTTCAGATTATGAAGTAATAAATTAGTACAAAGCTTTATAAAAAATTTCTTTGAAGAAAATATTATCAGATTGCCCTGTTCTGACAAACATAAAGTGCTTGTTGGCATCGCACACAGCAAGAAGATTCATAGAAGAGTTGTTGTGGCAATTCACCCAGGATTTTCCGTGTAAAGAGGGCTTTTGAATAGAAATAAGCTTTCTATCAATTGCCCTGATGACACCAGGCAGACAAACACCACGTCTTTCAGGCTGCTCGAATTCAGCTGCCCTTCTTGCTGCTGTTTCACTGTCATGAACTCCCCAGTTTACAAACTTATCAGAATAGTCTGACATGGCAGTAATGAACCGCATGGTAAACCATGTGTAGGATCCAGCACTGATACCAAGAAACTGTTCAGTGAGACGGTAATTAAAATGCGTGTTTGCAAAGCACCAAAGAACTGTTGCAACTTGAATTTCAATAGGATAGCTATTGTTATTTAAAGCCGCCTCATACATCTGATGCTGGCTAATGATGTTAAGAAGTAACTCGAAGTTTGCATGGCTCATTCGGTATTGCAACTGGAAGCTGTTGCTCCCAAGATCGATGGTCAAAGTTGGGTGGCATACATACCACCATTGTCTAAAAACACCATATCTGACATGATTTATTTCTTGAGGGCCACGTTGCAGGGTGAATGAGTGTGGTCTGCAAGTGTGTATTATAAAGAAAAAATTGTGACTAACTAACTGCGAACTTTCAATCATTATGTTTGCTGCACAATCAAGAAGTTGCTGTCTGGACCATTCAATTTGTTGTTGCAAAATCAAATGTTGTTTACTCATTTGATTCAAGAGCAGTTCAATGTTGGTTAAGTTTGCATTTCTGCGAAAATTAATAATAAAGGTCAGAAGTCGAAGAATCTCAGCAGAAGAATCAGTGCTGGTGTTGTTGTTGTTGTTGTTGTTCATTTTGAAGATATTAAATAAAAGGTTATTGTTTAAAAGGTAATTAAAAAGGAAAAAGGCAGGTTATTTTAGCACATCTTTTTACTTTTCCAAAATGAGACAAAGATAAAAAAGACGTGATGTCCCTTTTAGGATGCTTGCAATGCTGATATATTTTCCATGCTGATAAATTTTCAGGTGGTGGCGAGCACCTAAAGATCGAAAATGTTGGACATTATTTTGATGAACCGTAAAATCTGAAAATGGTTAACTGCAGTACCTCTTTATGTGCAGTAACATCTTCCTGAGCATTAACCACAGTATAATAACTCTTCTTTTATTTAAATATACAGTCAAAGCTTGATTTAGTAATATTTGATTTAGTAATAATTGCGATTTAGTAATATTTTTTTCAGCACTTTTATTTGCAGTCACATAGAGCAAATCTGCAATATTGCTAAAAAACATATGCGGAGTAAGAAAAAATACATTTGATTTAGTAATAGTAATACAATTTGACTTCTTCCAAAAGTATTACTAAATTGAGCTTTGACTGTAATATAATAGCTACTGTGGATAATGTGCAGTATTAGTTTAGAAAACTATATAAGACATTTCAATTCATATCAATAAAAAGTAACTTTTATCTTCTCTTTGATTTTATGTATACTCCTTGATCCCCAGTGGGATTGACCTTTTCACTTTTGTCAGAGTTGACATTGGTAACCAAAATTGGGATTTACAAGCAACCAGTAATGGTTGACTTTTTAGGATAAAAGATCTTGACTTTGCCAATTAGTCTTTCACATATGTTTTACATGTTTAAGATGGTGAATATACTTGTAGAAGATATTACTGGACAACAAGCATCTAAGACATATTATTGTAGCTATTCTTTTAGCCAGAAATCAATTATCATTTTGTATAAATAGTCAAGAAATACATTTAATAAAAAGGCATCTTTATTCTTATCTAAAAACTATTCTTAAAAACTTAACAATCCCCAGTGGTATTGATTCTGCGACTTAGTTACAAGTGCCAGAAAAGAAATACTAGATCGAGACCTGACACTTTGTTATAGTAAAAGGAAGACCAACCCAGACCGGGTGTCGGACATTATTTTGATGAATCCGAGAAATCGGGATAATTGACTGCAGCAGTTCTGTATGTCAAAGATACCTCATAGATAACGAACCGCAGTAATGTCTTGTAAAGATTAACCACAGTAACATCTTCTGAGCATCAACCGCAGTAAAAGGACTTCTCTTGTAATTAAATAGAGTATAATAGTTTACTGCGGATAATGCGCAGTATTAGTTTAGAAAACTATATAAGACAATTCAATTCCTATCAATAAAAAGGACCTTTTATCCTCTCTTCGATTTTACATATACTCTCCGATCCCCAGTGGGTTTGACCTTTTGACTTTGCTATAGTAAAAGGAAGACCATCCCAGATCAGGAACGACACGGGAATAACAAAAACTACAAAATTGTATCTACAACACAATTTATACTCGCTCCCGGGTGGGCTCGAACCACCAACCTCCTGATTAACAGTCAGACGCGCTGCCAATTGCGCCACGGAAGCGTATTTGTCATGTCACGTTTGTTGTAAGTATGTAAGGGTTTAACTAATTTCTGGTGAGGGATACCGGACGGTGGATTCCTTCAGTGGTTTGGTCCGGCAGTGAGCCGTGACGGGCGGTACCGGACTCGTGGGCATTGACGTCGACGGTGAGTCGACCGAGTGACGTGTCTCGAGAGACAAGAGTGGTCCCCCCAGGTTTCTTAGGAAATCTTGCTCCCGATACCCCTATATCCAAGTACCTACTTATTTTCTTGCGTGCCAAGTTTAAATTACTTGGGGGGTCTACTTTTTTATGTCACAAGGGGCTTTAAATTATAAGGATGTATAGAAGCAGTGACAGCTTTTATTTTTGTTGTTTCTTTTGGAATCTTAATGTTTTTTTTTACATTTTTTCTTTTTATCAAAACATATTATTATAGAACATAATTGTAATTTTTTATTATCTTTGTGTATTAAGATTTCTAAAGTGGGAAGAGTTTGCATTTCTAAGAGTGTCTATACGATTCATTGCTTCCCCAAGTAAACCACTAATCACTTGTTATTCGGCTTCATCAATTCCTGGAACATCCATCAACTGCTCTAAGTCTTCTCTTTGATAATGAAGTGTTATATTCTGGGCCATGATTCTTTGCAACCAAACAGAATTGTTTCTACCACTTACAACAATGGTGTTTGTTTCATTTTTAACTTCCTCATTAATAACTGCCACTTCATGCTCAGATGCAAGTGATCTTTGTAGTTGGAGGTGGTTGTTTTCTCTTTGAGCTGTATACGCAAAGTCTAGACCAATAAATCTCTTTAGGAGATGTGCATGTTTACAGGGAATTTGACGTGAAGCAAAATTGGGACAAGTGCAATTTCGTATCAAATTGTTTGATACATTAATCTGATATCATTGTGCTTCACCTGTAAATGACTTTACTGTCTACTTGCTATTAGAGTCTTCTATGCTATTGCCAATCTCATTAAGAGGATTAATGATCATGAAAGGGAGCATGTTATCTTGTATGGTATTGGCAGAAAAAGAGTGTCAAGCAAGTTCATTTTTAATTGGACCCATTCGTCCATTTTGTATGTGGATTTGCTCCACTTCTTTATTGTAAAAGAACTCCACATTGTTTGTCAAAATAAAGACAAGATGGTCCAATCGTCTTATGCGAGTACGGCCAAAGTATATTGTTTTCAATTTGTTGTGCCACAATTCGATGTAATTGTTTGTCAAATATCTTTGGTGATCATTTGCAACATATGACCTTCCCCATCTTCTCAACAATTCTTCTGTTCCAATCCATTTATGTTCGAAATAAGCCAGGAATTGTTGCTGACTTTGTACATAAAGCCTAAACTCCTGGATTTTTCTCAAAAATTCATCCTCATCTGATTCAATAAGTATATTTTTGAGATTGACCTTGAGCTCATACTTGTATTTGCCAAGTTGTTCTGATGTGTATGAAGCATCAAGCTTTACTTTGCTGTCTAAATTATGCTGCCAGGCACGCAAAACATGAAACTTGCAGAAATGGATGATGGTCTGTGACAATGCTGCTGTAATTGCATTATTTTCAGCAATACTACAATCGATGGTAATATATAAGGGAGTGAAACAGCTTTTCTCACAAAGATGTACAAGCTATTGATTAATGGGGCCAACTCTATGATCGTTTGTAATCATGTATGCAACAGGAGACCCTTTTCCAGTATCAGGATGTTGAGTAACAAGCGAGTATAATATTTCAATGTTGCGTGCAGAGATGTTGTGTGTTGCATCAAGACAAAATGACTGGGAAATTCTCATAAGCATCATTTGAGATGGTGATTGAAATCCAAACGCAAAATGCTGTGCATTGTTGCTGTATACAGAAAGATTGCCAGTAAAGATACAGTAGTTCTGTGATGATAACTTCTCATGCATCCAAATATCCAGAGACTTATTTTCATCAGAGTGAAACCTATACAGTAAATTCTTTATCTATATTTTTTATTTAACACTTTTTAAATAACTTCTCTCTTATAGTATTATTCACACACCTTTCTTATTCTGTTATAGATGTCTTCATAATTGGGCTTTCTAATGCCTACGCCCCACTCTTTAATTTGTTGCAAAACTGAAATTCTAGTATTTCTACAAGTGCTGCCCCCTTTTAACTGATCTTCAATAATTTTGATGACCTCAGAAGGTAAAGGTAATGTTCTAATTTCAGAAGCATTGCCAGGAACATGGTTGATATGATCGTTGGTCATACAAATTAAAGCTACTTCAGGGTTTTTGATGTATTGCTTGATGAAAATAGTGGCTTTGCAATAACAAAACTTAGTGTCTTTCTGAGCAAGACAAACATTTCTGTCTGATATATAAAATTCTGCTTGGTGACATTTTTTTTGTCTCTCCATACATCAATTCTCTTGCACAAAGTTTTCTACATTTATTCCACTTTGTTGAACAAAGTGATTGAATGCGGTCAAGGCATTGCTCCCATTCACTTGCTTTTACTTTTACTACAGCATCCAAAGAAAGGATTTTTATTCCTTCTGTAGGTGAGTTGACTAAAGTATTCTGCACATTTGAAAGGTTGAATATAGTGTTAGACATTGGTGAGCTTGTATTATGATTGTATATGTAATTAAAATAAAGAGGAGAGAAGAAAAAAAAACATAGCAAAAGAAATGTTTTAACAAAAGCCACTTTGCAAAATCTCTATATGGAAAAGCCACATCCTTATAATTTAAAGCCTCTTGCGACATAAAAAAGTAGACCCTCCAAGTAATTTAAACTCGGTGCACAAGGAAATAAGTAGGTACCTATACCCAAACCCCCCAATATAATCCCGTTCCTTAAAATTAAAATATCCATCTATATCATCACCTCAGAAACACCTGTCACCCACTAAAAATATTATACCTCTTTCCCCTAATTTTATACACTTCTTTATTGCCAACATTTATTTTACACTATTTTTTATTACATTTTATTAGATTCTATTATTATACTATTATTATATTTTTTATTTTACTTTACTACATTGTTATTATATTATTACTTTTGTTGTGGTGGTTGAAGTTGAAGAAGTTTTTAAGAGGAAGAATTCAAGATTTGAAATTAGGAACGAAGATTCGTGAGAACTTGTGTAGGTTTTGTTTATTGAGAAAGATTTTGTATCAAAGTTTGACCAGGTTCCTACACTGAACTACTACTGCTATTTATATTGTTTTGGATTGGGAAAATTATATGACTGGGGTCAGGTAATCGATCCTATCTGAGCCTTAATCAGAGCAACGTGATCTTGGGATAATTAATGTATGATTAATTATATAAATGTGTGTAGTCCCAATGAAGTATTAACATCAAAAGTAAATGTGTTTATGAGTTATAATTATGCTTATAATAATCCACTGATGTATCCCATATTATGGTGATATCATCATATGAAATATAATCACTATCACGCATGCTAAACCTGTGTGTTAAATAATAAAGTAATCGGTAGACACCTTTGACTGGAATAGCTGAGGCCTTATATTATTTCCTTCAGACTTATTCTCAATTACAGCAGTAGTCAATACTCATTTACAACATTATCCTCCACCAGATTCAACAATACCTTTTGTTGATTCGGCAAAACATCTCATCTTAACTATTTATTAATTTGTCGAATTGCTCAATTTCATTTGGGTCAATTACGCTCATAATTTTTTTTTTTTTTATACTTCAAGAGATCTGCACTGTAAACTCAGCTCCGTGGATTACGTGTTTATTTTATCAAATTTTTTGTTGCTCTTCTTTTGGACATTCTTTCTTCTCTACTCAGTGCGGTAGGAAGCTTACTTCCATTGTACTCTTCAATGCGATTCCTTTTTATTTTACCATCATGTCTTGGAATTTGAACTGTTTTCTTTAATGAGGCTGCACTCTTATTCACTAATTCCGTGGCTCTCTCATTCTCTAAACGTTCGATTTCTCTGACCTTCTTCCAATACTTTTGTATTATTGTGGGATTGGTAAAATCGTTAGCCATTTGCCATGTGTTTGCCCGTTCACCATAACCAACCCATTTTACCAGATATTCTCTTTCACCAGCAGCACCACGATGATCGCGAATGTCTTCAACTTCATAGAGCTCATTCTCAATTGTAGATTCATCGATGGTAACCATCTTGAGTTCTGAGGGTGTGTAATTTCGGTGCAACAATTCTCCTTGCTCATCCTTTAGTTCATACGATCCTCCTTTATTTCTTCGAACCACTGTATAAGGACCTTCATAGATTGGTGCCAATTTATTTGGACGATGTGGTAATCTGACCATTACGTGTGTTCCTTTGGGGATGTCTATTAAGATGTTCTTGTGATCGTATTTCTTTTTTAACTCTTTGTTGATCCGCAAGACTCTTTCGTTTATGGCAGGGAATATTATTTTATCCATATATTCAATCTGCTTCTCCAATTCATCAATTGTTACCGTGTTTTTGGGAAGAGAGAATTTTGCTTTATCACCATACTCATCAGGTACATTAACTCTGCGAGCATACATTAGTGAAAAGGGTGCACTCAGTGTCTTTTGAGGAATATGTCTGTTTATGCATAGCTGAACAATTGGTAAATAGTGACACCAGTCATTGCTGTTCGCTCTCATCATTTTCCGTACAGTATTCTCTGCAACTTTCACACTGGCTTCAGCAATACCATTTCCTTGTGGATGATATGCCGTTGAATATCTTCGATCAATACCAAGCTCTTTCGATAGGCTTGCCATTAAAGAATTTCTAAATTCCAACCCATTGTCACTTTGCATTACTTTGGGAAAACCATAATCTCCAAATATTTTTATCAATGCCTTAGCTATTGTTGTCGAGTTTTTGTTTGGTAATGGTCTCAAGATGATATACTTGGAACAAACATCAACTAACACTAGCATATACGTGTGACCATCCTCTGATACTGGGAATTCACCGCATAAGTCAATTGCAACATGATCAAATGGTCGGAAAGCTACAACATTGGTCAATGGGTGATATCCTCTTTTGCTGATGTTGTGCTTCTGACATTCAGAGCAAGAACGAATAATCTCCTTTGCTTCTTCATATATATTAGTCCAATGTAATCCTTGAGAGTGAAGATCATTCACCATAGCTTGACTACCAAAGTGACCAAACGAATGTGCTTCTTTTAACAAGCCATTTCGCTTTTCTTCAGGAGGCGACATATAGTCGGAAGTCTCTGATACATTTTCGATGAGTTGTGTAGCAAGTACATTTAGCACTTTGTCCTTACTGTACTTTTTCTTACGAATAATAACTTTATCTTTAGATTGCAAGTGTTTTGTTTTGATTTTTCTCAATCCATCATCCTCCACCAGCTTGTAACTATCCTCTGGAGGATACAAGCGACTCAACAAGTCTGGTAGTTTATTCAACAAACCAGGAATATGGACCACCTTAAAATCAAAGTCAAGAAGTGTCTCAATCCAGCCAATTATCATGGGATTAGCAATTTTTTGTGTGTGAAGATAAGTGAGTGCTTTATGATCAGTAAAAATGGTGAACTGTCGGCCCCATAGAAATGGACGGAATTTATCAAGCGCCAAAACGACTGCATACAATTCTCTTTTGGTGGTGCTCCATCGCCGTTGGGATGGGCTCAGAGAAGTTGACACAAAACTAATATACTTATCACGCCCTTGATCGTCGCGCTGAAAAAGCAGGCAGGCTACTCCATAAAGGGAAGCATCTGTGGCCACATACATTTCACGTGACATATCTGCGTAATGAAGAATTAAATCCTGATGCAGTATGTCCTTTAATGCTTTAAAGCTTCTTGTCTGCTCATCTGTCCATAGCTCAGCTACATTGTTGGCATGACTTAATCGTGAAATAGGTTCAGCCACCTTCGAGATCATGGGAATATAGTCTCTGAAGTAATTAATCAAACCCATAAATTGCTGAATTTGTTTCGCAGTTTTAGGAATAGGCCATTTATCAACGTTTGTCAACTTTCGCTTATCAACCTTGGTGCCTGTCTCATTGACGACAAAACCAAGCAATCGCACTGAATGTTGAAACCAGACACATTTATCAGAGTTTAGAATCAACTTCGCCGATGTCAATCTATCAATCACTATTTTTACATCCTTAACATGCTGCTCAAATGTTTCGCTAGCCACAATACAATCATCAACAAAATTCTGCACACAGTCAATTTTATCAAACAAAGTTGCCATGACATGTTGAAATTGTGATGTAAGCATCTTCAAGCCAAAGCAGCCTTTAATGAAGCTATATTGTTGCCCATCTAAATGAGTGAATGTTAATTTATGAACATCTTCAGGTGCAACTTTGAAACGATGGTAGGCATTCGATAAATCCAATGTGGTGAAAAATTTCTTTCCACTCAAATTCTGGAATATCGTTTGGATTTTAGGAATTGGATAGTTGAATGTGGGAGGTAGGATCTGATTCAATAATCGCACATCTAGACAAACTCGGTGACTCACAATCTCTCCAGCTTTGTTTCTTTTAGGCACAAGCAACATAGGACTGTTGAAGGAAGTATTGGTCTTGGACTTGACAATCGTGCCTGTCTCAAGCCATTCTTTTACTTGTTTATCAAGTGTTGGTCGTAGAGCATGGGGAATAGGATATTGACGTCTATAAGCTGTGGCGCCTTCTTTTGTGGGTAATCTAATTAGAGATTCTGATAAAGGACAAGAGGACTCGACTGGGATTTTCTTATTTTCATCCAGTGAGGCCTGAATTGACTGAATAAATTCTGCTCGCTGTATTTCCGTACCAGCTGGCGAATTATCCGGTTCAAACTTTTTCTCTTTATCGATATTTAGATTCTCATACACAGCGGCATAGTCTTTAGCGTTATCTGAATGAATATATTCTCCTTCGATATCGTATGCAACATTAATCAATCCGATGTTCATTTTTGTTAAGATATCTCTTCCAAGAAGAATATCAAAATTAAATCCTGTATTAAACTCTAACACCTCGGGTGCATGCTTAAACGTAATTCCATTCACATATTTAAAATTTAAAGGATCAGTTTTTCCCAATCGCTTAGTACCACTATTCTTTGACAAGAAAGTGAAGGAACCATTTGATGAATTTATTTTATTTATATTTAAATTTTCATTCAAACATTGTAAACTAATGAAAGTGCGTGCACTGCCAGTGTCAATCATTCCAAGTAGTTTGTGGTTCTCTACAATAATAGGAGTGGTTAGATTAAATGCATCATTGGCTTTAACCCTTCTCTCAATTTTGTCAAGTAGGTACTTACAGTCGAAAGACATGTCTTCGAGTTCCAAGTCGACACTGTCTTGGATCGCCTTGAGCACTTGCTCAGACTTCTCCTTGGCAGGGACCTGCGAGACCATCAGGACTGGCTCACTGTCCTTACAGACGTGGCCACGGAAGTAGTTTTCTCCACACCGCCTGCAGGGGTTGCGCTTGGTGGGGGCAGCTACTTTGGCCTTGTTGTTGGCCAGGGTGAAGCATTTGCTCGACTCATGTGTAGTATTCTTACCATGGTGCGAGCAGAAGAAGGAACGCTCCGGCTTACTGATTCGGTGCTGCTGGTTGTTGCTGGAG